GGAAATTAGGATTGTGCTAAAAATATATAGTGATTCCAATGACAAATTATAAATTGATACCTTTTCCTCTTACCAATTAATTTTATTTATAACTTGGTCTGTAGATCTGTAGGAGGTAGGTCTGTAGAAGTCCTATTTAACTACATTCATTAAGTAGGATCCGATAAAAAGGAAGGTGTATGTTATCTCCCTTTGACGTATGGTAGTTAAATGAATCTGTTTAAAAATCATTATTAAAGTTTGTTTTCCTCTTGCCAACAATTTTCTGACATGCTGAGAATTGTTTGCTATAAAAGCAAAAATCTTTAGATAATATCAAATATTTAGCATATTTTTTCTTTCTTTTTCAAAAGATATGGTAAAGTGATTATTTTTTGGAGGGTACTATAATTTGCTGTTTGTGAGGATATTATTGTATTTCAGTGTTATTGAGAAGATAATGAAATCAACAAATAAGATAACATTGCTATAGAATTTATTGCAAACGCTTCACAGTTTGTACGATAATTGCTGTGAGAAAAACATACCTTTGGCATTTGAATTTTGGCAAAAATAGGAAAATTTGAACCATAAAAAAAAACTTACTAGTTTGATTTGCAACATTGATGTATAAATAGAAAGCTATTTTGTTTTCTCCATATTATTCTTTGTTGTTGTTTATTTTCCTCTGTTTTTTTTTAGTTAAATTATCTTGCAATAAAGACTGACTAACAGTTGTTTGAATTTTAGCAAGGGAGATAACTCCATGTTGTTGATCAGTGATTCATCATGTTTAAAGTTGATGTGGTGTAGAGATTTGTTTTCCAATAACTGGAATTGTTCAGTCCTTTATAAGTAGTATCTTATTAATTAGTCAGAAGAATGATCCCATAATCACATCGATTCACTGACTTTTCTCCCAAAAGTTACACTTTGTGATTAACTATCTATGTTTGCTGTTAAACCTACCCATCTTAAAAATAAAAATGGATGATTCATCTGGTACTCAATCTTTAGTCCAAAAGGTTTCCTGTAACCTGCATGCAATTTTTTACTTCACTCCAATACTGGCACGGCTCTGTTCTATTGAAATCATGCAATATTGAGAATTATTGAATTGTTGAACTTCAGGTTTGATATGTCTCAGCTCATCTCCTTATTGACATCCTTTCTAACCACTTTGGTTTTTCCTTTGTTAGGTTCTTAGCATCACTAAACAGTGGTGATGGGAAAAAAGTTTACTGACCTAGAATTAACATCAAGAAATTATTGGGAGATGGCATTTTTATTACGTATAATATGATTTTTATGTCATCTGACCCAAAGGGTTGTGATGACCTGTAAACATCATGCTTCATCCGTTGTTGTTCGCCATGCATTGTCTGCCATGCATTATCTGCCATGCACCTTCCACCATGCATCATCTGCCATGCATAAACTTTTGGCATTTTAAACTCCTTGTAAAGTGAGAATGAGTTCCAATTTGTTTGAAATGATCCTGAGATGGTCCTGACCAAGTGTTGTTATTTTTCAGGTTGGTCTGAAATCAAAGATGGCCACCATCTTGAAAAACATATTTTAAACTTCTTCTCCAGTTCCACTGGTGCAAGTGAGCTAAATCTTTGGTGGGAATGTTAAGGAAAGGTAGTCAACAAATTGTTTTTAGACCTTGTCAAAACTTCAACACAGCAGCCAGGGAGGCCATTTTGTAACATGATTTTCATGGTAATTATGGTTTTCCTTTGCAACACCTATTTCAAGCTTCTTCTCAAGTTTCACAAGTGGGATTGAGCTCCAACTTGTCTGAAATGATCCTGAGATGGTCCTGACCATGTGTTGTTATTTTTTCAAGTCGGTCTGGAATCCAAGATGGCCACCATCATGAAAAACATATTCTTAGTAAGATTTCATACTAAGAAGAAAAAATAACCGTTCCTTTTTGTAGACAGATGACCATTAAGGCCTGTTGACCTCTTTGTTTTTTCTTTGTTTTTTTTTTTAACTATAGACACAAGAATATATTGAATATTGATGATTGATTATAAAAATTACAATCAATCATTGCTTCAAATGATAATCGATATCTGATCATCGTCCCATCACTAATAAACAGATAAGTCCTAGAAAAGAAGAAACAGCTGTATGATGCAGTTCAATTCACCATCTAGCTCTACTGTATCTTATCTAACATTGTAAGGTGCTAATCACTTGTGCGTCTTCTCCATCCTAAATATTTTGCTCTCAGTCTATTCATTTGGTTTAATCACCTGTCAGGCTGTCGGAGATAACATAGACTTAGTTTACTTTGCCTCGTATATTTCGTTTATAGAGAGTACTTTATATGTTGAAGTAATATATCCACACCTCCACACAAATACTTAATGATCACACTTAATGCACGCATGCTATTTAAACAGATTGTTAATTAATTAGTATTTAATGTGATGTAGAGCAATCAGACTGTGATAACTTATTAAGAAAATGACCTGTGATAATTAATTGTTGTTATTATCATGTATATTCCTTGTTACACTTTGTAAGTAAATATTTCTGTTTGATTTAGTTCATACCTTGAGATAAACATGTTTGTTTTATTTATTTACTTTTTTTTCAAAGATCCCTTACAATGTAGCTGTATCAAGTTATTTGTGTACTTGTAATTAAATAGAATCTACACAATTTTACCTTTGGTTTGATAATTTTAGATTCTGCTACATTTAAATTATAGCAACTGATATTTGTATGTTAGAATTCACGAAAGGGAGATAATTGTACAAGTCTATATGAGCAATTGATTATTACTTTTATACATATTATAAAAGAAAACATTTGGTATTACAGAAATCAGAAGGTAATTTGTAGAGATAGACAGTCATGTTGGGGGATTTCATCGACTTTTACTCAGATGTTATTTTCTGTCACATGTATATCTTTGCTGATATAAAAATCCCTCTGTAGGGTTTATACAAACAGGCAGTTATTGGAGACTAAATGGTTTGCTAGACCACCGAGTATTAGCTCTGTGACATCGTTAATGTTTGGCAGTTTCATTTTCGTTGGATTTATAATTCCATGAACTTTTAAAATGTTGCAACATATATATGTTTGTTAAAAATAAGAGGTTTCCAAAGTATATTTTATGCAATTAAATATGGACCTATCAAATTGGATTTTTAAAAATTAATGAATTTTATGTCTTACAAAAATATAAGATTTTTTTGTCTCTGTTAAGTGTATTGTAACTCTGTGGCAGATTGTTTTATTTTTTGTGTTTGTTCACCTACAATAATTTACAAACACTTTGTTTTGTTTTTCTGTTTGTTCACCAACAAGAATTTACATACACATTTATATCTGAGTAAAAAATGCAATTTTCTCACAACTTGCAATATTTTCAATAAAATTATTGCGCGATTAAATCTTTTGTTTGTCTTTTATAAGAATTGTTCTTTGCCAGAGATGAAGCATATGAGTGGTGGGAGGAAATCCGGAGTTAAACCCACATGGTCAATAAGGTGACCTCTTATCTTTCCATGTCAGTCTGCTGAATCAAACCCAGGACATCTAGGTGAAAGGAGAGGATGTTACTACCCGACTACCAAACTCTTCAGTTACGATATTGTCAATTTTAATGATTTATGAACAAATTACGCAGCGGCACATTGCGGGGAATCTTAATAGTTTATTACATTATAATAATATGGGCTAAGGGGCTATAACAGCTGTAGTGCTTGCCAAAACTTCAGTATTACCCGGCCAACAAGTAAATGCTTAAATAGAACGTCAAGATATCGAAGCTGCTGGCCGAGCTATGTACCTGAAGAGAGGCAACTTAACTATTTACTGCCAAATAGAATTCTTGGGGGACTTACGAATTACATAATGAAGTGAAATGCCCAAATAGAAGATGTACCACAGCTGAAATACCCCCCAGTTTTAATGATTATTGTATATCTGACAACCAAGAGGTGGTAGCTTGTTTTTCGGCCCACCGGCTCGCATCTACAAGATGTCTGCTTATGAACCCATGGATTTCCAGTTTAATAGAAATTTGAATGATGAGGTCCTGAAGAAGCTCGCCACCAGGGCGAAACTAGTAGACCATATCTCACTAATAAATCCCTTAACTGTAACGCTCAAACGTGTTGTTGGTTCCTACCATTTTCTGACATTCATTTTTTACTATCTAACACACATCCACATGAATTATGTCAGAAATCAAAAGACTGATATCTCAAAATGCAGATGATGGAATGTATTTTCCAATGCTGACAATCAAAAAGCTTTCACATGACCCTGTGGCATTGTTCCTGTCATCGTCTTAAATATTCTTTCTCTCTATGAAGAGCAGTGCACAATGTGTTTTAATCAATCAGGCCCCACTTGTATAAAACATCTCAACTTGAGATTTCCTCAAGTCGAGATTTTCCTCAGCTAATATTTCCTTGAAAATATCTTGTATGAAAATTCCTCAAGGAATTTCAGGACATCCTAGCCGATGCCTTCCTCCTGTTCCTTGAGAAAATTATATACAAGCCGTTTTTGAGGAGATATCAGCTGAGGAAAATCTCAGCTTGAGGAAATCTCAAGTTGAGATGTTTTATACAAGTGGGGCCAGGTAAATAGTATCAATCACAAAAGTCTGTGGAGTGGATGTTTTTGAGATTTATTAGGTATTTGTCGCCCAGTTTCGCCCTCCTTGGCTTCTTCAGGACAACAATATCAATTCCAACCCCACTAAAGTACATAAAATGCGGCTCCAAGTTTGCTAAAAATAGTACATCTGCTATTATGATGTTATACTATTGCAAGTTTGTTAACTCTAATTCACGGTACAAACTCTGTATGTTATCAATTCCTTTCCGTCCTACTATACATGTATATACCTATGTACACATTATAAGTTAATTATTGACATCAAAAACAACATCGTATATCCATCACAGCTAGTAGATCATCAATACGTTGTTATATGTACATCAATCAGTGTTCATCTAGATATAATGTAGATGTCGATACATAGTTCTATTGTTTATATAGTCCCTTATCTGTGTATCCTCATCATTCTCCGCAGTGTTCGGTGTGGATCCAGATTCGGCACCCATGGTGTTGATTAATTAATCAAAAAAACTTATTTCATTTTGCCTTAAATATTTCATTTTATTTTCAATTTATCGTCTAACAAATGAAATTATAGACCACAATGATCATACAGTTATGTAATGGTGAATTCAGCAACACTGCAGTAAAATGCAACAGATTTTAAAACAAAAACCATTAATATCAAGGAACATAAATGCCTTCAATTAAAAACAAAAATGAGAAAGAAAACTGATGATATGATTTTCCTGTTCTGTCAATTGTATTATTAGCTGTGATCTACTTGTAGTACTGGTCCCAAATATATATAACTAAGATTGTAATTAAAAAATTGTTGGTGTTTTACACAAATCTTTGATTCAACAGAAACTGTTTAGAATCACTTCTATAGATACTGGTAATGGTTTCTAGATTGTTAAAAATGATGTGTGCCTTTCACAAACCTTTCATTAAACAGATACAGAATTTACACTGAGATGTTTACCTGATCCAGAAGAGAATACCTTACAGGGGAAAGTTCTCAAGAGAAGAAAAATTTTAAAAGTAAAGTATTACATATGATATGAAATTGCAGTGTTTACCAGGACAGTAAGAATCTCAATGATAAGATAGCTAAACAAAACTGACTAGTATGAATATGTAAATTGTAACATTAAATGGCCTCTCGCTGAATGAAGTGTGATTGTCATGCTCAGTTACTTACATATCTACCATCTACTTAAAGTCCAACCAAACAGATTACAGGAAAATGAAAGGTCCCCTTCTTCTTACAGAAGGATCAAGTTGTTAAAGATGAAACAAATACAAAGTTATCATATCAAAAATGACCTAGTAGTATTATTGCCCAATCTGAAGATTCCACATAAAGCTAAAAAACAGAAGTCATTTTGACTGGACTATAGTCATGTCAACACAAATGACTAGTAATAAAGAAAATTATATAAAGAATATCAAGATATCTAAGTTTATATTACCATGACAATATTACAACTCTCACACTAGCATGAAGATACCACCGATAACATAAATTAATATGGTATGGATAGATAATATTCCTCGTAAAGCTATTTTTCAGTCCCCAATACCAGCATCATATTCATGAAGTTAATCCATGAACTCTATGTAAAAATCCTCTGGCTTCTTTCAGAAAATATTCTACTTCGGAATAATTACAATCTTCTGCTCCTGCGATGACAAGTAAGAAATAAAATGTATGCCTGATACTCTTTTTCGTATCTAAAATCTCATTTCTAACTGTTTCATATGATTTCAGAAAAATGAAAAAAAATTGATGAGATGGTGATATTGAACATAATCTTCAACATGATGAACATTTTATAGATCAAATAATGTTCTATGCATGTCTGCGTGAAACCACACTCCATTCCTAATCCTTGAACACATAACTTAAGTAACAGTACAAGACTAGACTCTATAATTTAATTTCTGTGATAATTCATTTGCAGGGGGTGAAAATCCACAAAAGATATCTTTTACAGACTCAAAAAAAAAAAAAAAATGGTGAACCAGGGTCTGGCTGGTAGGTTAAGTCCTTAAAAATATCCTGATATACGAAAAAAAAATCTACATACATTTCCAGACTTTCTCTCTTTTGATTGTGATTTTAAATTCTAATTTCCAATTTTTGAGCCATAAATCATGTTTTTTTTAGACCGGCAACACCATTAAGATTCCGTAGCCGCCATTCAAGTTAGCCATTTCTGAAGTCAGTTTCGTGATCAGTTTTAACCTCTGGTAAATTTGTTAGACCTACCTACTTCTGGTCTATGGTAAATGTGTGTTTAGTCCATAAAACATCATTAATTCAAGATTATTAAGGTATCTTTATATACAAAATATGACTTCAAACTATTCTATGTAGACCTCTGAAAACAATTCTTCAGTATTAAAAGGTTCTCATATGATTATAACTGAATCGTTACTATATGAACCTCCAAGGTGACAAACTATTCTGTAACACCGAAAATTCCGAGAAAGTCATCTTTTTGACCTTGGAATATTTGGGGATTTGAAATTAAAGAATCTTACATCTGATATTTGATGGCATTTTTTTTTCTTTCATTTCATCTTTATAGCACCTATTACAGTAGAATTGTATTGATACCAGAAATTCCTCCGCTGCTAACTATGAACTGCACACACTGGAAATGCCAAGGGCAAGCAAAACTGTAAAGTCACGTTAAAATGTGAGAAATGTTGTGTTTTTTATCTAATTCAAAGAGCAGCTATTATCTTAAAACTAAAAAAAAAACCATTAATATTTCAGTTTTGAAAATGTTGAAGTATGAACTGTATTACCGATCTAGATAAACACATTAAAAAATGATCAACTGAAAAACAAATATATTTGTAAATTTTCAAATAATTTCAAAAAACTTGAAATAGATTTGTTTGTTGATCCTGGTTATGTGCTCAAGACCTGAAAAACTGGACCCCACCAGTGGTAAAATAACAAAACAGACAGATGCACAACTGTACTAGTATGATACAAATGCCCGTGATGGGTTTTATCAATGAAGATACATATACAATACATAATGCTGTGAAATACACATCATACAATAATTAGTGTCTTTAACAAAAATCACAACTGTATTTTTGTATTCACTTCACATAATGCTTACAACAACAGATTAAACAGGACCCAGATATTTACAAATTGGGACTGAAATAAATGCAACAAGATGTGTAATACTGTAAAATTATAGATTTTTGTGGGGGTTCAAGTTTCGTGGTTTTTCAAAAATAAACATTGGTTAAATCTTGCTCACAAAGTCCACTGATACTATAATTTGTCAATTTTTAACTGTTTATCATTTCACGCACAAATGAAATTTGTACCCACAAATTAAACAAAAATAAGTCCCCCACATAGTGATCATCGTAAATACACTGGCCATCTTCAGTGACTCTTCCTTACTTTTCTAGGATTTTTCCTACAAAAGAACAAGAAGCATGGGCCAGGAAGGGTTGGTAACAAGTAGGTACACTATACCTTTGTCAATGTTTGGTGTAGATGCTGCTGTTTTTTTTTTAAGAATCGAAAGGTCTTGCTCTTGATTACCTTCTCGTGATCAAATGTCTCTCCCTGATCTCCTACAGACCACGCGATATGTTCACCCTGATCTCCTACAGACCACACGGTATGTTCACCCTGATCTCTTACAGACCACACGGTATGTTCACCTCGATCTCCTACAGACCACATGGTATGTTCACCCTGATCTCTTACAGACCACACGGTATGTTCACCCTGATCTCTTACAGACCACACGGTATGTTCACCCTGATCTCTTACAGACCACACGGTATGTTCACCTCGATCTCCTACAGACCACACGGTATGTTCACCCTGATCTCTTACAGACCACACGGTATGTTCACCCTGATCTCTTACAGACCACACGGTATGTTCACCCTGATCTCCTACAGACCACATGGTATGTTCACCCTGATCTCCCACATTCTATATTCTATGATATCCCTGATAATATGAGTCCAATTTGTCTACAAAAAATGTTACAAAATGCAGCACGCTTTAAAATCACGGATTTTTGTAGGAATTGTGAAGCTTATTAAGAAATAATTATGTCATAGACAATGATGCTCGATTTCAGGGATGAAAACTCAAGATATCCATTTAAAAATTTAATTTCATGTTAAATTTTGAACAGCTTATTGATACATATTAAAGAGTACCCCTGAAATCAACGAAAAAGTTCCCCCACAAAAATCTGGTTTTACAGTACCTGTGATGCTTTGATTAAAAAAAAAAAGTAATATAGCAGTGTTACTGCAAGGTTTACACATTTTGGTCTAAGAGTGTCTCTCTGATAATCTCATGAGTACTAAGTACAAGAACCATCTTTCTAATTGGTCAGTGTTTTAATACCTGAAACTGAATTAACCCAGGAGTGCTTAGTCAGAAGACAATCCTAGGTGTAAAGTTGATACCAACACTGAGAAAGAATCCCTAGGATTTTAGAGATATCAGTTACCAGGGTGTACCTTAACTGCCCTATATTCATAAACATGGAAACATCCTAATTTAAACTATTTACTGAAAATTGGTATGTATGTTTGTATTATAATTTTTTTTTTATTTTTCAAGAAACATTAAGTCTAAAAAAGAAAAATTCAAAACATGGTTTTGCCATCTAGAAGACTTAGAGGAAAACTCTGTGTGAAAAAAACGCTTTCTGAATGTTTATCATAACTTACATAACTTTTAAAGATTCATATTAAACCTGGGAATCTGTTATCTTTTTATATTAGTTTGATGAAGTTCTCATCCAATACATGTAAGACATGGTAATGAACACACTGACCAAATTGAATCAAATCTTAATCAATGACTACACCTATTAAGTAATGAGTTTCTGGTGATAACATTTTTTGTCTACAGTAAGCTTTAGGGCCTTACACATAATCTCTGACTCAATCAGGGGAGAAAGCAAATGAAATGCTATTGGTTTGTAACGCAGCAGAACTGAAAAGGAGTTGGTTCTCCAATGCGGAACTCTTCACACACCGACCAAATGATTAAGTCCCTATGATACAGAATAAATTGTGTCGTCTTCAAGAGTTAAAAAAACTTGGCTATCAACTAGCCAAATATACATAAAATTATGAAAACTGCAATTTTTTAAGGTGCTTTGGTAGAATGGTTTTCTAAAACATGATGATGATTCAGATGTTTTGGCATCAGAGCATCTTGTACACATACTTGATTATCACAGCGCAAGCAAGGCCAACAATGGTCACACGCAATTTTAAATACTCCCATACCAGAATTCTAGGATGATTTTCAAAGCAACTTGAGACTGCCTGTCACGCTGTCTACAACATCGATCTTTCCCATAATTCCCAGCACTGTAACAGATCCAGCTGCAATCTGGTACAAAAACAGAAAACATCTTGTTCTGAATATTTGTATATGATAATATCAGTAAAGGTGTATTCAGTGTATTTGGTGTATTTTGTGTCCTTTGGCAAGACAAATTGACCTAATTGATCTAGATGAAATACAACAGACTTCCTGTAGGTCGTTGATTGAGATAGGCACCAGCTACTATAACGTGACTCCACCTCAAAATGACCTCAGCTGGTCAAGAAGCAATAAACCCTACAAACAAGCTACAGCTAAACTGGTAAATCATGGTGAATTAATATATTAAGATCAGAAAAAGTATTAAGCAAGGGACCTTAATTATTTATATAATCACCAAAACTTCATGCATAAATTCTGAAACATTAAATTTCCTCTGAAGTATGCTAAAAAAAGGGCAAAGTTTCACCTGTGTTTTGCCCGCGTCATGGACTAGATAATTGGGGAGCCCAAGTCCTTCAGCTTTACTCGTCAAGTCCATCAGCTGTGTGGAGTTGTCTCCCTTCACCACAATTTTTGTTTCTCTGATGACAAAAAAAGTTCCCATACTGCATTTATGCACAAGAACAAAATCAATTGGTAAACATCACCTGAGGATTCATTTCCCTATTCAATTTGTAAATGCACATGGATGTTTTCAAGAACCTCTGCTCTCTTCCAAAAGCATGACTGCAAATTCATCAGTGATGGCAATACAGTATTTTTGGTCTGTGCTTCAATTATATCAAAATACTTTGGATTTTCATATATGTAGTAGTAATTACCTCCCCTGACAACACTGGGCGTACTTTGTATAATCAACATGGCTGACACAACATAAGGAGGGTAACCATCTAGCTGCTTCGTCAGTCTTTAAAGCTGCAGATTATAGGATTTACTGTTTGAAGATCACACCACAATTGTTAGCAAAAGAATGCCAGATGTCTGTATTTTTGTCCAATAGTTCATTTATATCTCATATGTCACAATATTTATTATCCCATGACACATTTATCGTGATACAAATCCTAGTTCCGATGACCTAAACTTTGTGATACAGATGTCTTTTATTTGACTATAAGTATACCAAATTCAAATCAATACTTACCCAAACTGTTCCCAGCTCATCAGCATTTGTCCATACTTCTGTGGTGTTTCAAGCAGAATTCTGTGAAGTCCGAGGGCAGCATGAGCAGCTTGGGCCGCAATCTTTCCGACACCCATGTTTAACTCTGCGTTTACAACAAACACCATCTTGTAGAAATCGACACCCTCAGGAAAATAGTCTTCCTCACTATCATCTGAGTCACCAGCATCTTCCTATGATAAAAAAGGAAAAAATAATCAACTTGTAATGGCATCTAACCAACTTCTATTTTTTATTTTTTGACCCTTACACGGTTAAAATACTGTTCAAACATAACATTGAACAACATCTGAATACATACAACGGTGATAATTACACAGTAGAACTGATCAAAAGACCTTTTTCCTTCATGATTGTTTAAAACACTTTGTCACTCTTGATTTTAAAGGGCTATCACCAGTTATTACATGACTAGAGGTTGATGACTGTAAAATTACAATTTCACACCAGACAAAGTGGCAGTCTTGTTAACTCTCAATAAATGATTTCTTCTAGTACAACACAAATTTGGATAACAAATGTACTGAAAGTGTATATAACACATAATTATTACCGATGAATTGTTATCGTATAGCATTTATATGCAGATGACTGATACTGTGTTCTGGCAAACATCACAAGTACAAAAGATGATGTTCCCCTGTCATTCATATCAATTATAAATGTCACATCGTTTACAGGAATTGTACATAAAACAGAATCCTAGCTTTCTCATTGCTTTTGCATAAGAGTAAGGCACATAATATGACATAAAATAGCCTAAACATATTGTCTCATACTGCTCAAAAATTAGATTATAACTTAACCCTAAATTTTATTTTGTGGCAATTTTTTGCTCCTTATAACGACATTTACAAATATAACAGGAAACAAACCACCACATCTATTTTTTTTATTTGGCCTGACCTGGAGTGGACTATCAAGGTCAGGTTTTTCCTGGTTGTCCATTATCCAAGCTGCAGCCAAATCAGCATTGTAGTTTCCTGTGTAATACAGACCCTAACAAAGACAGAAAACAAATATATGTATTGTTACACCTGTTTCCTGTGTAATACAAAGACAGAAAACAAATATATGTATTGTTACACAAAGACAGAAAACAAATATATGTATTGTTACACCTGTTTCCTGTGTAATACAGACCCCAACAAAGACAGAAAACAAATATATGTATTGTTACACCTGTTTCCTGTGTAATACAGACCCTAACAAAGACAGAACACAAATATATGTATTGTTACACCTGTTTCCTGTGTAATACAGACCCTAACAAAGACAGAAAACAAATATATGTATTGTTACACCTGTTTCATAGATTGTTACATGTATATCCTCTCTTCTTTAACTCTCAACAACAAAAGGGATTAAAATTCTTTCAAAATTAAAAAATGAAAAATATTCTGATTTTGATTCCAAAATATTACTGCTGCCTCGTACACAAGTATTCATACCCTGTAATAACAAGTCCTACAATCGATGTAATGTTTCAGCTATCAATGTTAGATAAAAAAGAAAACAATATTTCTTACCCAGTTTTGATGGCAATCTGCCAGCTTGATCATTAGTAACATTAGTGATAAGGAATTTACTTCCACCTTGTTCACAACACCTCAGTGGCAAACATGGTTTCATAAACCCTAAGTGCCCTATAATAAGTCCATATTCACTGCAGTCAAAATGAAATGCCAACAAAAAATATTTCAGTTGTCCTGAAATAATCCTGCTTTCCTACTCTGACTCAAAGAGACTGCCATACTTTAGGATCAACTTGTCCTCTTGTTGTGACACCAGGGAACAACACTTTACTGATGTCTGATATGCCTAACATGTGTTGTTGGGCTCAGAGGATTTTTGAGCTTGTGTAGGATAAATAAAGTGAATCAAATGATATTTGTTCAGTTTATGGATGACACTTTGATACACAGTGCAGTTGAAAAAATTATTTTAACAACACTCACATCCTGATTAGAAAACTATGAACCAAATAAGGAACATTTAAATATCAGCTTGTTAAATCACAATATCATATTATCTTAATTATTATCTCCTCATAGCATTAATTCTTACGCAGACTATAAGTCTGAAATTTGGGAAATAAAGGGAGATAACTCTTACTTTGATGGCCGCATTCCTACTAAAAGCTAGAGACTGGACAAGGACCTGTACTAAAGACTCAACAGGCTTGAAGGTAGGACTGCTGTCTTCTGATTCACTGGATTTTACTGAAGCATCCATGTCTATACCAACAGCGCTGTAACACAAGAAATCTTCATAATTTATTTGATTACCTGGGATCATTAAAGGATTTGCCAGGTTTGGATTGTGGAGGAAGTCTGGAGTTCCTAAAGAAAAAAAAAACAAAACACTGACCAGCAGCAAGTATCTAGCAACTGCCATATATAGGATTTGAACCTGTGACCCAAAGGTGCAAGGCTAGTGATAAAGACAGTTAGATGCCAAACCACTCAGCGGTCGGAGCTCTTAGTCTCCACTGGTCAAGGGTACTTATGGTGTTCATATTAATTAATATAAACTTAAATGAACACACAAATTTTGTATTGAATGTTTACTATCACTGTAATCCGAACTTTGTCAAATGACCATGATGCTAGGTCTGGATATTATGGAAAGTACTATTGGATTTATATGAAGACTTCCTCCAGGGCTATTCTTGTTTATGACGTCATAATCTATTGTTATAATCACATGACCTCCATTGTCACTCATCTACATGTAAACCAGGTAAGCCTGATGACAGTTTGCCTTAAGGCCAAAACATGTCGGCAAACAAACAGTAGAATACAGTATTTGGCTTCAGGAGTAGGTGTTCTTCTTTTATTTTAAGCTATTTTTGGTTTTATCCAGCTTTGTATTGTGTTAACCTTTAAAATGTAAATTATACAGAATATAACTCTGACTGCGTCTCATAAGTCTACATAGGTCGAGCATTCCTTACACATCAAATATGTTACTCTGTATACTTCATATCCTGAGTGACTTGTATTGAAATGTGTGACAAACTTAATGAAATATACATCATCATTATACCGGTAATTATCAACCACTGGCTAAAGAACTAAGTAAGATCTGTTTTTGCTGGTGCAGACTGATTTCTATTTTGAAATGTTAAAGAGACATCATAGTAAAACTGTTATTCTTATTATTGACTGTGCATCTTTTATATAATTCCAATTACGTTTATATGCTATCTCAATATGCAGTTATTTCCAATGTCCAGTTTGACCACTCAATATAGGAGACCTCTCTCAAATCTGTAGCTGATAGCATCATGTGACAGTTTTAAAAATGATAGACACCATTTTTTTGCCACCCAAATTTATCATCGACATGTATACATTGTTTAATAAAGTCAAATTTAATTAAGAATCATGAAAACAGTGACATTAATAGCCATCTTTGTGTAAAAATCACATTCCACTTTTACATGTACTGTAAACACCATGCAAAGCTTTGACCTAGTTAGTTCCATGACGTCATTCCATGAATCAACCCAGCATAGTACATGCACCGTCAAAAATGCCTTCTCCTCTAATAAGTTCTAATCTGCCATGGTAAGCTTCCTGAACAAAATTCTCTATGGCTTTCATCTGCCCATCCTTTTCTTTGTGACTGCTGACTTTCAAATTTAGTGGGATAAAAATTTGTGAAATATGAAATCTTATAATTCTTTTTAGATCATGATAAATATAAGCCTCATCCACTATTCCACAAAAACAGGGAAAGAGGCTGAAGCATGAAGGTGTTTCTGAATCATGCACTTTTGAGGTCAAGTTTGGATAGAAAGGGGAAATATATCCTGGTTACAAAAATATACTGATGTAGATGATCAACATGAATTCCTTTATAAATCACTGATCAACAAAACTAACAATTTATTATTGATGGCTTTCAATGTATGAAACATGAAGGTAGGATCATAACCGAAATGTTAAAGCACCATGTGAATGAAACTGTCTTATAAAACCTAGTCAATCTCAAGATTTGCTAGGTAGTTCCCAACCTGATTGTCTCTCCAAAATGTATACCCTGGGGATTTATTGAACGGGAAAAGACAGAACGATTTTAACACGTAATAAGGATGATATGCTTATACATTAAGAAACTGTGCAGCAATTAAAACTTTGTTATTAGGTATTGAAATCTTGAAAGAAATTTGAAAAATTGACTGACGTAATCGTCAAAACTGGTGACACGCACAGAAAGTGTTGAAAAATTGTCGGCATATTATGACCATATAATTCATATTAATATTCTTACGTTGTAAATGACAAAATAATGTATGTCAGAAGAATGGCTCGTTCTTGAATGATAGTGCCCTTCACGCGCCTATACAGACTTAAAGAAACTGTGGTTAAATGCACGAATCACCAGCATGCGTCATCCTCAGACTCAATGTTATAGGCGGCGGCCATAATGTAGTGACTAACTGGGGAACCAGCTGACTGACACGGAAATTATTCCGTTCCTGAATCTCCATGATTAATTCGGCTGAAAACGACCATCGTATAAAATAGATTATTTGCACTATGTCAGTTCTCAGCCATATTGTAAGATATTCAATGGTTCTGTTTATATAAACATATTCTATTTGAACTCGTGCTAGATATAAGCTGATCTTTCAGGAACTGGTTCAGTGTCTATTTAACTTTGTAACATGGTAAATTATTTTGTTTTTTTCCTGAAACATAAAAGAGTTATAATAATAATTATAACTCAAAATCGATAAAACAAATGTAAAATATTTATAAAGAAAAGTACAAACATTAATGGAATGCATTTTCTCTAAGTAAGAACCAGGGTAGTGTCCCTATAACGCAGCCATAAGTCATGCTAAGGAGCATCAAGCCGAGGGTTTCATAAGGTAGGCAATACTTGATAATGAATGATAATGTCTGTATGAATTGAACAATTTCTACTTTATGTATGCAAATATGGCGCTTATGTTTATTCACCCAGTCTTCAAAAAGGACATTGAACGGAGTTTAATATTGTTATTTTTATACAGGAATTTACTGCAAGCTCACAATCTCAAATGACAATGGTTGCATGTAATATTAAATTAATTTCTTTTCTGTACCATTTTTTGGGGTTCACATATTGAACGTACTGCAGTGAAATGTTGATCCTAGAGGGTGTTTCGCCATGGAATCAGCAATCTTCGTTTCACCATGGCGATACAACAATTTATCATTGATGTGTTTATATCATTTCCAATGCATCTGTAACATTAAATTTATCGACGTGTTCTAAATTGGTTGTCCATGAGTAACTTCCCCTGCCGATATACTTTATTATAAATGAAACTTTCGTATTTCGTGGGTGTATAGATCCGAGTCAAAACAAAAATAAAACACAGCAGTGGCCTTTTCCGTTTTCTGTATGTACATTTCCCCAACATAATTTCACTTTGTTTTCTGTCCACATTTCCTGAACAGTATCAGGGACGTCCCTGACAGTATATTGTAACGTTTTCCCTTGTCACAAATATTTTTAAGGGCCCGTGATAGTCTGCGAAAGTACAAGAAAACAACTCATTACATTTACATTTATTGCTATAGTTTAGATTACAACGTGACAGGTGGTAAAATAATGTCACACCAACCAGACATCTTGGTTCTGTGACACCAACAAGTTACCATACAGGGGGCTTGGTAGGTACTTGGTATTTGGTAGCTACCAAAACCAGGTACCCCACCAGATGTGATTGGTGAACCTCTAGTCACCACTCCCTTATGTAAGGGTATCTGGTGGTGGCTACTTGGTTACTACCAAGTCACAGAATAATGAGGATCTGTACCAATAAACGTACCATGATTTGAGCTTGTGTCATAGCAAGATGTGCTTCTCTCCTCTCCTGAAGGAGATACCAACGGTCAATGTATACCCTCACTGGGGTTATAGGTCATGTGTGCCCATGCATGGCCTAAGACAGCCAGGTGTCCTACACCTGAGCACATAATCACAGGTAACCCCCAGTGCTATATACAGACAATAGGGTATATGTAAACAAACACATATATTATAAAAAATAATGTTATCACAATATTCTTGTTTTAAATCCACATTTTCCCGTTTTTTCCCCCTGTTTTCTATCCTCTTAATTTTGTCTGTATGTTTCTGTTTCCTGTCCACAGCCAATATTTCTTAATTTTCTGTCTACATCTCGTCAGTATTTGTCAGTTTTCTGTCCACATCTCGTCAGTGTTTTTCCATTCCTGTCTACATCTCGTCAGTGTTTTTCCATTCCTGTCTACGTCTCGTCAGTATTTTTCCATTTCCTGTCTACATCTCGTCAGTATTTTCCCATTCCTGTCTACGTCTTGTCAGTATTTGTCAGTTTTCTGTCCACATCTCGTCAGTATTTTTCCATTCCTGTCTACGTCTTGTCAGTATTTGTCAGTTTTCTGTCCACATCTCGTCAGTATTTTCCCACTCCTGTCTACGTCTCGTCAGTATTTTTCCATTTCCTGTCTACGTCTCGTCAGTATTTTCCCATTCCTGTCTACGTCTCGTCAGTATTTTCCCATTCCTGTCTACGTCTCGTCAGTATTTTTCCATTTCCTGTCTACATCTAGTCAGTATTTTTACCACTCCTGTCTACGTCTCGTCAGTATTTTTCCATTCCTGTCTACGTCTCGTCAATATTTTTCCATTCCTGTCTACGTCTTGTTAGTATTTGTCAGTTTTCTGTCTACGTCTCGTCAGTATTTTTCCATTTCCTGTCTACATCTAGTCAGTATTTTTCCATTCCTGTCTACGTCTCGTCAGTATTTGTCCGTTTTTTGTTCATATTTTGTTGATATTTTTCCATTTCCTGTCCACATCTCTCCAGTATTTGTCCGTTTCCTGTTCATAATTTGTTAGTATTTTCCCATTCCTGTCCACATCTCGTCAGCATCTGTTCGTTCTGTGTCTACACTTCCTCAAATTGATGTTTTTTCTATCCTCAAGGATAAATATGGGATCCTTGTTTTATGAAGTTCACAATTTTGTGAAGCACATGAACATCCTTGAATCTGTATGGATATTGAGATATTGTGATTTCAGTTGGCCCCACCCATCAGCCCTCGAGGTCAGTCAGAGTCAACATGGGCATAACATCAAATATCATTCCATAGATAATTCTGACCAAGTTTGAATTATTTCCATGCAACATCAATTAAACAAATCACGCTCAAACGTGTGATATCCCTATACAAATATAAACTAGAGATAATTTAACCCCCTCCCCAAGGGAAATGTAGGATCCCAAGGTCACAAAATTCTTGGTTTTTGTAGTGATATAAGACCTTACAAAAGAACATAGAAGAATTTTGAAATTTTAGTGAACTTAATCTTTTTGGCCCGATTCATCAACCTCTGGGGTCAATCTTGCCCAGCATGTCTACACCAGCAAATTACCAACCATTGGGTTTACTAGATAAATTGAGGTGTCATTTAAAGATCACATATGACCCCTATGACCTTGTAATATAATAAACTCTGTCTTACAGTATACCCTATCACCACAGAGCATGTGTTTTAAAATGTACTCCAGTATTACCACTGATCTGCTGAACGTGTTCTCATTTGGGAACTTGACATTACTGATGTAGATTGACCAAGATTTACATATTACATGTCATCAATGAAACAGATGATGCTTACTCTTCCTGAACACCTTTCTCTCCTTCTCGAACTTTTTCAGTAGCCTATTTCCCTTGTTCTCATTTGATCCAGTTTCATCAAATTTAGTTTGAATATTTTGTTAACATGTCGGTATTTTTTTTCTCTTCTCAAACTTTTTCAGTAGCCTCTTTCTCTTGTTCTCATTTGATCCAGTTTCATTGAATTGAGTTTGAATGAATATTCTGTTAACATGTCGGTATTTTTATTCTCTCATTCTCGAACTTTTTCAGTAGCCTCTTTCCCTTGTTCTCATTTGATCCAGTTTCATCAAATTTAGTTTGAATGAAGACTCTGTTAATATGTTGGTATTTGTTTTTCTTTTTAAAACCGAGCAAAATCTGTTGAGGAATGAATGAGTTATCTTTTACTGTAATACCTATTTAGTAGACAGACATGCACATATATGTTCCTGCCTCTTTACCATGCCAAGAATTACGATAAAGCCTAAGAAAACTAGAACTGTTGCCTAGATAGCTGACCAATACCCCCCGCACACTGCAACGAGTCAATGGATAAGTTAAAGTGTTATTCTGAGAGTAATTGACATATTCTGCATGTGCCTGCATTTCTGGAAATCAGAAGGGGTGGAATACATGTTGTTCATGATCAAGAGAGTGTTGCAATACTTACAACTTTATTGAAGTAATATTTTCCACTGAAGGGCCACAGAGACAAAAAAATGGTCATTATAATAAGTGGGTACTACATCAATCTCAAACTCCTCTGGCAATCGGTTGATAATCAGAGACCAGGATTGTGTTTCCGCGGTAACAGTTTGGGAAACTAATATGTCCAATTATTGGCCTTACCGAATTACATCTTTTTACTAAGTTTGAATACAATCAGTCAAATAACTGAGGAGTTATGGACATTTCTTAGAAAACAAGTTTATAGTGACCAGTTACCATGGCAACCAAAATTAAAAAAAAAAAGAACGGGGCATGCATATCTACACATGTTTGTCATGGCAACGAAACCTATTTTATAATGTTTGGCATCCCCTAATAACCCTATAAACTAGATTTGGTCAAAATTGGACAATATCTAAATTTTGACCAATCAGAGGCCGGGATTGTGTTTCTGCGGTAACAGTTTGGGAAACGTCTAATATGTCCAATTATTGGCCTTACTGAATTACATCTTTTCACTAAGTTTGAATACAATCGGTCAAATAACTGAGGAGTTATGGACATTTATTAGAAAACTTGTTTATAGTGACCAGTTACCATGGCAACCAAAATTTTCAAAAAAAGAAAGAAGCATGCATATCTACACATGATCCTTAATATTTCTGTAAAGTTTCATCAAAATCGGTTCACAGGTTTAGGAGGAGTTAGCCGGACAAAATGTGTCTACAGACAGACTGACGGACGGACAACCTGATTCCAGTATACCCCCCCTAACTTCGTTGCGGGGGGTATATTGAAGCAGTGGAGAGAAAAATAATGGCAAAAAAGAGTATAATTTTCCATATTTTCCTTTAATGTATACCGTCTCTCTTACAACTACACAATCTCTCTCGCACTGAAGAATCAAACAAGTCACATTCCTCGGGACCAACATCTGATGGAATTTAGTTCAAAAACAGAACAGGGAAAATTAAATTTGTTTTTGTCCCCTGATTATAAAAATATTTATCTCTTCAGATCCTGTGTTTATTTTATAAACTATTCTAGTGGTATTTGATTTTACAAACTATGCAATCCAAACGAAACTTAAAGAAAAGGATTCTTTTTAAAAGTTTTTTTTTTTATTATTTTTGAATGGGGGGGTGGGGTGGGGGTTTACAAATCCACATTATAAGCCTTAAAATTCTATTTTTTTTAATCAATAAGCTAGTTGTTGAGTTACTAACCAAGCTCTCAAAAAAGCATGATCATAAAAACACTTGTCCGCTTCACAAGTTATCCAACTTTTGTCTGATTTACATAAAATCTGCAGATGATGATTTGAATCCACAATGTTTGTCTTTTATATTTAGGATATCAAATTTGAATAACCCTCAAAAGAGGCTGACATATGATATATCTTTGACAAAAAACAGTCAATAATATAAAACTAAAGATGTTTTATCTATATAATTAAAACCCCCCCAAAATCTTTTAATTACATTCCATCAAATGTTTGGTCTATAAACCACTCCTACATTCAAACTTATCACATCTAATTCATCTTGCACTAGACATTCAATTGCATGATATAAATGCTAAACTCATTTAATTTTCAATTTCAGTTTGATTTATCTAACACAAGTGTACATTCCCGATGTGCAAGAATTCTTAGGTCATCGAGACAAAAAGAAAATAAAAAATAAGAATATCTTCAAACGAATCAAAATCTCTGGCTATCCAATCATAGACAAATGACTTTGAAATAAAGGACCATATCATCCAGTAATAGATATACTTGTACTAACAATATCAGAACAGATTTGATATATAATTTTTGCGTATTGCTACAGGAATCTAGAGAAATTTGCGACGTAGGAAAACCCGTGCCTGGTTGTTCAAAGCTTATGACATATTACATATTGCAAAAAAAAAAAAATTTCTAGGATAAAATCATAATGGTTGTAATACAAAACTAGACTTTCTTCAGTAGTTAAAAGAAACACAACATGTGATATCAGATATTTCTATAAAAAAGAAAACTGCACTTAGAATAATTTCTACACAATTTCCGAAATAATTACAATTTGAACAACTTGGCATATATTACTTGATGTATCTTGTATGTTATCACAATCAGATGGATTGACAGCAGCACGAGTAATAATGAGGGTTTAGAAGTTCTCCTCTACTTAAAACTCCAGTAGGATCTACTGCAGTGTTTATAAATCTTACAATGTTAAATACATCCCAACTATTAAATAATGTGTTATTCATTTTTCCTTGACACACTTAAGATTTTTCATGCCTCTCACAAACAAAACACACATAAAAACAACCAAACCACACAAAGATGTCTCACTTGCCCAGTTTATACTATTATTCAGCATACGATAACCACTGATGTTGTATTTGTTCAACAGTAAGCAAACACCCAGGAGCCAATTCAGTTATGTTGTACTTCAGTAGAATTGCCAACAAATTCTACTGTTCAAATAAATCTATGAAGTAAATTTTGAACAAAGATAATTTATTGGCCACTGGGCTTATTGTAGGACAAATACAGTAAATAAATGACATACATGTGCCTAAAATGTGATCACATCCTAAAATCCATGATTCAATATACAGTACATATACGTCTGCATGGTTATCATACTGTACTGTATAATGATTTCTCACCTAATTCTAAAAATTAGATTATGTAGTATACAGAGTAATTCATATCATTTCTAGATATCTTATTACAAATTTCTCTGACTATGTAGAAAAAAATGGAAGAATTACAGGAAAGAAAGTTTTTGACAGTACACCTTACGTAAAACGTAAAAGAACTGAAGATATTGATTCAATCCCTGAAAAATTCAAAACATAAAATTTCTCTTTGAAGTTTCACTTTAGGTAAGATTTGATAGAACTATGAAACCTCAATGACAGATTATCGAGAGGCCTAATATATGGGTATAAAAGAGCTCCAAGATTGTGACATATAACCAAAATAAGTTGAAATTTTATTTTGAAACCAGGATGAAATGTTTAGAGAATAAAAAAGACACAATACCAGAGAGAATTAAACCTTGAATCAATAACATCAAATCATGTTAACATCTCTTAATGCTGTCAAATGATATTACACTTTATGCTGATAAATGTTTGTTCCATGAGTGTTTCAAAACCGGGTCAATCAACTCATTTCAAAACCGGGTCAATCAACTCATCTCAAAACTGGGTCAATCAACTCCTTTCAAAACCGGGTCAATCAACTCATTTCAAAACCGAGTCAATCAACTCATTTAAAGTGTGTTAAGTCTGTAAGCTTGAAATAGCAGTATATCATTAGGTAAATTACGTGACGACGCTGAAAACTGTTGACAAAAGCTGAAAACCCTAAAATGATTTCTGCTAAAACATTTTGATGACTTAAAGAATTACTGCTAGTTTACAATAATGATATTGTAAAGGACAAAGAAATAACTTAAGTGGAATAATTTGCCATGGTACACTCAACACAAATAGCATACCAGTAATAAATTATAGCACTTATTTCATATCCACCAGAATTATGAATGTTTTAAATAAGATTACCTATCTCTAGCAAGATAACTAAATTTGAATGAATATTAACTGCATTCATTGCATCATGAATGCAAAACCTATAAATACCAGTAACACATATTAGAACGCATGTATTAATATAAAATCAGTATGAGTTGAAAAGGTCAGCATTTTTTAATCTGTTTTGCTTTATTCTAAAGCCTTCCAAAACAATATAAAGACTGTTTCAGTCATCCCAGCTAAATTCTTCATGAGTACTGTACTGTATGTGGCTATCGTTTTCTCATATTATCACTATTACACCAAACTGATTTCAACGATAATATACTTTTTACTATATCAAAAGCAATATTTTGGTTTTAACTTCGAGAATGTGGTATTTTAAAACTATGAAGTATTACGTGCAAAACTGAAACATCATTATTGATATACAAAAATTAATGTTTGCTATTGTTAATATATTTAAAATAGATAATTTTTTCTTTCTAGAAAAGTCAAATCTTAGCATAAAACAATTTAAATAAAGTTGAAATAATTGCTGTCACAGGTGCTCTCCATTCTCAATATGTGCCCACACGGTCGAGGCTCATATGACAAAACGTTCGTTTTGCTATCCTGGAAATTCCTGGTTCTCCAATCGCATACATCCTCAATCAAACACTCAAGTTATCTTTGAGGAAGTTGGCATATTACAAAATATCTTGGAATATTTCAGCTGAATTTGAAATGTTTCTTTATCCATTTCTATTCAATAGATACATGGCAACAATGATTTTAGTAAGTTCGTTATTTCGGGGTTGGAAATTGTCTTTGCAACCCATAACAGATACTTTCAGAAAGTCACATCTTAATTAAAATCTAGTGACATTTTCTAGTGTATATTGCAAAATTTCCCAACACATCTCAGACAAATCCAAAAGCCTTGGTTTTGATGGCCAGTATAAGCTTGCTGCGTAGTACAAGCTTGGAAGAATACAGGGGTATGTAGAGACGTGAAATACAGGTGTTGGCTGTCGGGAGATGATCGTCATCTGCTGGCCGAATTGTGATGCTGGGCATTGGTTGAAATCCTTCCTCACTAGCTGGCAGTGCAGGACTGGACGTCCAGAAATATACCTAGTGAGAGTGATAAAAGTAATGGAACCATTTTATACAAATTAATTTTTTTTTTAAAAAAACATAAATGTTGAGATCACAGTGTAAATCTTTAAGAAAACATGCACAAGATTGAAGTTGAAATGAAATGGAACAAAATGTCTCGCCAAAAGACTAGAACACTGACAGGTGAGCAAGGTCTAAGCTATTTGGTCTGACAGGTGAGCAAGGTCTATGCTATGTGGTCTGACAGGTGAGCAAGGTCTACGCTATTTGGTCTGACAGGTGAGCAAGGTCTACGCTATGTGGTCTGACAGGTGAGCAAGGTCTACGCTATGTGGTCTGACAGGTGAGCAAGGTCTACACTATGTGGTCTGACAGGTGAGCAAGTTCTACGCTATGTGGTCTGACAGGTGAGCAAGGTCTACGCTATGTGGTCTGACAGGTGAGCAAGGTCTACGCTATGTGGTCTGACAGGTGAGCAAGGTCTACGCTATGTGGTCTGACAGGTGAGCAAGGTCTACGCTATGTGGTCTGACAGGTGAGCAAGGTCTACGCTATGTGGTCGAAAGTCCCAAAAAACAATATCCCAAGCAAACACTTTTGGTAAGGATGAATTTTATGAAGTTTTAATTAAATTGGGCAAAGTAAATTCAAATTATTGCAAGGAAACTGATTTTAAATAATTCTTATAGTGACCTTTGACCTTTCGTTCTGAATGGCAATCCATCTCAAACAAGAGAATTTTTAGTTAAGAAGCATTGCATCAAGTTTGAGTTAGATTGGCTACACTCCATAAAATGGTTTTTCCATTGCCGCAACAATTTTGACTTCTGGGTTTGAAAGGAATCCCTAGCAAGCATTGTCAGTAAAAAGCATTGTATAGAGTTATGTCAGAGAAACCAATTTTCTACTCAGAGTAACAGTAATCTGGACCATTGACCCTGAAAAGTGAAAAAGCGATTCAAAGCAAGCCACTTTAGTAAGGAAGCAGTGTACGAGGTTTGAGTTTGATGGACTAAAGCAAACTTGAGTTATTACAGGGAAACTGACTTTTCTATTTATAGTAACTTTGACCTTGATATTTGACCTTCGAAGATAAAAAGCAATCCGGAAGTACTGTATGAGGTTTGGGTTAATTTGGCCAAAGCAAACTCTAGTTTTAACATTAACATGCAAGCCCTTTCAAGAAAGAAGCAATGTATGCTGATGGCCAGACAGATGGACAAAAGGACGGACAGACAGAAGGACAGTTGGGGGGATGGACAGGATATCTCTAAAATAAAAATTTGATGACCATTGGCTCTGCATTACATTTGTAAACCATGAGTTAGAAGCATTGAACCTTGGCTTTGTAGACCAATGCTCAAATTCACTGCGCTATTGTGGCACCTTTATTCCAGTATAACAATGAATGTAAATTTTTACCAAATGTGGTATGGTCATACATGTATTGTCTCATCAGAAAACCAGTTGGTCATGTCAGAATACTAACCAGGTCTTGGCGTTCATGGTTGTTCATTTTCTCCACCACTGACCAGAACCAACGTTTAAATCTCTGTACCTTGTCATTGTTTTCACCTGAAACATATCAGTTCATTGAATATAAAGATGTTGTATGCATTATGACATCTAAAACATTATATTCTCTTTTTTTTTTTTTTGCTTAATTTTTCAGTAAAACTGTTAATAACATTTTAAGGTAGCGCAGGTTTATAATTCCTAGAAATAGAAGGAGTTTTCTCATTCATTTGTTGTATTTCTACAGTATAAAAAAAAATTTACAGATGAAAAGTTGTCACAATTTTTTTTTACATATATCGAGTTATAAGGTGATTTCTAAATTGATACTTTATACCTCTTGTTTATAACAATCAATATCAGTTCTATCACTTACCGCTCTCGTCATTAAAAGAAGTGTAGCTAATAAGTGTCTGTACATTTATATCCCCAACTCCGTTTAGAAGAAGACGCAGGTCCTCTGAAGTTAAACCCTCAAGTGAATTGGATGGAATAACATCAAACACTCCGAGGCGCAGGTTCTAGTGAAAAAACAAAATATCCAGATTCATTATGTTTTCTTCTCAAGTGTTTTAGTTACAGTAAAGCTCTATTTAAGAAAACTTAGTACCATGTTGATATAATTTACTTGAATTTTAAAGCACCAAGTATATGCTTAAAAGTACCATATCAAAGTCAGAAATTTTTTTTCTTGATAATTTTGCAGTTGATTTGAACATTACCAGGAGCAAGTAATTGATGGTTGTTAGCGGCCTGGTATAATAATACAAGGTTATCGATGTTGAAATCTCAACACAGCTAATAATGAAATAATCTGTTTTTAATTGGGACTGGCCTAATATCAAAAAGTTGAGGACACTCATAGACGCTATGTGTATGTGTATTGAAATAAACAAATAACAGAAGTGGTAAATCAGAATAACATAGAATCTTGAGTGATTATAGATATCAAAATATCTTCAAACAACATGTTGAATTTCACCAGACAATGAATTCAACCTTTACATATACATATATGAAAGTTAAAGGCATGTTGTCAAGATTAGATCATCATTATGATGGATGAGTCTGATTGGAGAGGTAATAACTGATCATACCCCGTTAAGTGTCAATCTGAAATCTTTTCCAGCGTAGTGCATGGTTATTGGTCATTGAAGATTATAAAGCAGTGAACTCTCATAAATTGGTTGAATAGTTTTTTTATTGTTCATGGTGATGGGTTGAGATTTCAACATCAGTAACCAGTTATTATAACAGGCCGCTAACAACCATCAATTACTTGCTCCTGGTTAACGTTCTAGCCTTGACTAGTGATATTTTCTCGCTAATCTAGTGTCCAGCGTGTCTTGCCAGAGATTCTCGTTAATCTAGTGTCCAGCGTGTCTTGCCAGAGATTCTCGCTAATCTAATCTAGATTCTCCTTAATCTGTCCAGCGTGTCTTGCCAGAGATTCTCGTTAATCTAGTGTCCAGCGTGTCTTGCCAGAGATTCTCGCTAATCTAGTGTCCAGCGTGTCTTGCCAGAGATTCTCATTAATCTAGTGTCCAGCGTGTCTTGCCAGAGATTCTCATTAATCTAGTGTCCAGCGTGTCTTGCCAGAGATTCTCGCTAATCTAGTGTCCAGCGTGTCTTGCCAGAGATTCTCCTTAATCTAGTATCCAGCGTGTCTTGCCAGAGATTCTCGTTAATCTAGTGTCCAGCGTGTCTTGCCAGAGATTCTCGCTAATCTAGTGTCCAGCGTGTCTTGCCAGAGATTCTCATTAATCTAGTGTCCAGCGTGTCTTGCCAGAGATTCTCATTAATCTAGTGTCCAGCGTGTCTTGCCAGAGATTCTCGTTAATCTAGTGTCCAGCGTGTCTTGCCAGAGATTCTCATTAATCTAGTGTCCAGCGTGTCTTGCCAGAGATTCTCGTTAATCTAGTGTCCAGCGTGTCTTGCCAGAGATTCTCGTTAATCTAGTGTCCAGCGTGTCTTGCCAGAGATTCTCGTTAATCTAGTGTCCAGCGTGTCTTGCCAGACTAAACAGCCTCCCCAGAATCATCAGTATTGGTGGAGGTGAAAACCACAAAGAAGAATTCAAGCTACAGGCCTAATTCACACCCCAGCAGCTAAGGGCTGTATTTTTTATTACTCCTACCAATTACATCTGTTTATTTTAATCATGTGCAACAAAACCTAAGAAGATCTAAACATCTTCATTTTTAAGTGAAAATATAAACCAATCAATTTCTAGATACAATCCACAACTGCACAATAGGTTTCATTTTATATTAAAGTTGGTATATCTGTGCTTACGATTTACACATTCCAAATTATCACAAGAGTATACAGAGACCAATAAAACATGAAATAAGAAAGCCTATTAGCTAAGCGTTTAAAAATGCTCTTCCAGTATGCTGTAATTTCATGATAAGGCCTGTAAGCTTATGACAAAGATGAACGTGTAATCAGAACTGTTGATGATATAAAAAAAAAATTAAAAACCTTAAATAGCAAAAATTTGATGACATAATCTAAAGACTGCCCTGTTCACGTCTATGTAGTTTTCAGATTGCATCATATTTCTTCACGCAATATATCTTTCACACTCTTAATCATTTTCTCATCCATGCTTACGAACAAAGTTTACCACCAGAATTTATCCTAAAAAGCTAACTGCTATAGTCAATGTTTTTTATTCAAATTAGAGTTTTCAGAAAATGTCCAATTCATTCATCGTTATCATATAATTATCAAAAATGAGAAGAATTTCACACATCTATTTGATAAATCATGTCAGGAACTCGGAGACGTAGTAGTAACACCAACTTAGATATTGACAGAGAGTCACTAGTGGTATTGAAAATGAAACTAAGATTCCAACTTCTGGTTTTAGAATAATGTTAGAAATCAGTTACCCTTTATATATCTAGAGAACAGTAATATAATAATTGAAAATATTCAAACATCTTTTTAGTTATGTAATGGAATTAAGATTTTACCACAAAATATCTGTGTAAGAAACTTAGTATGGACAAAGGGAGATAAATTGATAAAACAATATAACTTTTCTTCCAAACAGAGAAGAAGTGTACTAATATCTGCATGAAACAGTTCCCAGATGTAATTTAAAAGCCAACTTCTTTTAACATTTTTGTATTTTCTTTTGTTTCTACTCATCTCACTGAGATGTATTTATAAAATAACAGCATCAACTACTTCATGTACTAAATACAAAACACATTTTATATCCTTTCTGAAAGGTGTATGTGTGTTGTTGGGTCTTTTTGTGGCGCAAGTTCTGCCCAGTCTATAAATAGCCAAGATAGCTAGCAACTGATCCTGGTGATGGTTATAAACGCTGAGCATCTGTTTGTTATTTAATCTGTTCAAAAATTTATCATTTTGGAAATCAAAGTAATGTTTTCTGCTCACTAAACACCTACCTTAAGTGCTTTGTCTGCGACCTTCACCATTCTATACTCTGCGTAGCGGCGTACGTAGTCATGCACATTCTGGGCATTAACTTCAACGTCTGAGCCGTTTGTCATCAGCTCCACTTGTTCTCCTCCCTGTTATAATATTCACATGAAATTAACACTCTCTCATATTTATGTAAGATATAATTACCCAATTAACAGCATTTTATCAAAATTAAATATTTGTTTGTTAAAATGAAACTTCATGCAATAGTCAAATACAAAAGACTACTCATGGAAATAATTTTTTTCCTGAACAATATTTTAAGTTTCTAAATTATATATACATCAACAGTTTCCAGCATATATCTGTACACTCACATATATCTACAGTCAACAGTCTCTCATGTATGTCCCTAGACAAAAATACATATTATACAGTCACAGAACTTGTCTTTTTTGTCTTTAATATGACTGAGGATATTAACACCAGTAATAATAAGACTTAAATTGGTAACAAGTCCTGCCACTAATTAAAACTAACATTATTCCGTCATGATAATTAAATAATATGACTGAGGATATTAACACCAGTAATAATAAGACTTAAATTGGTAACAAGTCCTGCCACTAATTAAAACTAACATTATTCCGTCATGATAATTAAATACTGGTTCATAGCAGCCGAGTTTTTTTCTTTCACCGATTCCATACTTACAGAGAAAATCCTGGAACTTTACATAAATGCAGTAATTTTCAGTAATTTTCCTAAATATAGGAATAAAGAAGGGTTTTTCGATATAAAATTGGAAATATGGAGAGGACAATTTTTTTTTTTTAAGCACCAATGACCCCTTGACCTCTTACAGGATTATCTATGTATTTTTATACTAATATGAACTATATATTAGACAAGTTAAGTATGTGTTGTCCTTTATTTTTTACTGGTGATTGACAAATAAGGAATTTTAATTTGTGAAGAATGCTTACCTCCTCTGCACACAACTCGACACAAAAGTTCATGTCCAGGGCAGTGAAAAGAAGAGAGGCATCTCTCATCTCAGAGTCTTGGACAAGCTGACGTAAACTCTCATACATAACAGGGTCAAAGAACGCCAAATCGTGCCAGCCGATTTTGCGGCCCAGGATATATTTCAGTACATGTCGGTTGAGGAAAAGTGGACATAATTCATTTTGTAGTAAACACAAACCAAGTACCCTGTAAACACAGAAAGGAATCAGTTTAAACGCTGAAGTTTTAAGACATAACTTCCATTTCTTTACAGTGTATCAAAATACATGCCTCCACCATTGTCTTTAGGACAATATTTCAGATTCTACTACAATAATACAAATTTCTTTTCTTTTTTTTAATAATACAAATTTCTACAAAAGAGAAAACTGAACTACAGAATCAACAATAAAGTTAATTCATACCCAAAGTAAAAAGATCCAATGACAAATAGTGTAGATTATATGGCCCTGACAAGATAGCTGAAGGACACAACACAAAACTATAGCATCCGGTTATGGAATAATAATTCATGCAAATAGGACTGCTACTTATCAGAGAGGAAAGATCAAAACAAAGCATCTAGTTCTCATACAAAAGGTAACTTCATGCATAAAGAAACTGTAAATGAGCTTGTTTGTTTTCAATTCAGAACAAGAAAATATTTTGTCTTTTCCTTACCGGCCAACATTTCTAAATGCGTTCAGTCGTTCAGACGTGTTCTTTCCCGGCCTTGGTGAGTAAAATCCTCGTTTCCCTGGTTGCCAGAATAATGGGGCATTGTCTTCTAAATCATCTTCTTCCTCAACATCACTACGACGGTCTGAACCCGTTGACTTCTTTTTCTTGTCAGATGATGACAAATTAAATATATCTAGGTCAAGTAGTGCTTCTGCACTCAGTTCTCTGAAAAATAATGATAAAAAAATAAACTTTTCATGATCTTTCACAAATAAAAACATTTTCTAACATTCTGGATATCACTTCCACATGATTCACTGATGTTTCAGGATGAGCAAGTAAATTACCGGTACATCATTTCAATTGAGAAGAATTAAACATTTTGTCTAACAGTTCCAATTGAGAAGAATTAAACATTTTGTCTAACAGTTCCGATTGAGAAGAATTAAACATTTTTTCTAACAGTTCTGATTGAGAAGAATTAAACATTTTGTCTAACAGTTCCGATTGAGAAGAATTAAACATTTTGTCTAACAGTTCCGATTGAGAAGAATTAAACATTTTGTCTAACAGTTCCAATTGAGAAGAATTAAACATTTGGTCTAACAGTTTGCACTTATTTACAACAAGATGAAATATACATTGTCTTTAAATCTTATTTGAAAGCATTTTTTATTATTATTTAAACAAATTCAAAACCAAAATTAATGTCTTTTCAGAAGCAAAAATGTCAATACAGAATCTTTTACTTACCGGCCGTGTGAAAGGATGATGTCAACTGCTTCGTCAACACGTTGTCGTAACGTCTCCTCAGACGTTAGCATCAAAAGGAGCTGGGCAGGAGACAATTCCAACAACATTCCAGTAACCTTTGGGGCCAGTGACTGAACAAAGGTCAAAGGTCAACATATCAAGGTTAATTCAAACTCACAAGCAAAAGCCCTAAGGACAGCATCAAAACAAAGAGGTTAATCTTAAATTACAAGGGATCAAAAGTTAAAAAGCTTACAAATATATTCCAAATACAGTTCTGTTGTATTTTAACATGGGTGTCATGTGATGGAAGTATGTAAATGGAACAACATTATCATTTAGTGACTCTGCAGTTTCATATATATATCTGTGGTAACTTGAGTCATGTTTGATTGTATCAGCAGCACATTTTAGTAAATTTCTTTTGTAGATCAGAACAGAGAAGCCAAAATTCTATTTGAATAGATTTCACAACTGTTCAATTTAGTGTAGTTATCTAAATCTGAACAAAGTTAATATATAGATACTACTTACTGGCTGTAAAACTCGCACCCTGGGGTACAAACGCTCGCCCAGTTGTCTACGGTACTGTGATATCGTGTCACTATTGCTACCTTCTGGTGGGGGCACACCTGCCCCCTCTGTGGGGTTGGGCACAGCCACACTGGGGGGTGTGGTCGCAGGATTAGCATTGGCACTTTCTGCTGGCATGTAAAATGGTGGGGCATCATACGACAATGTACGTCGTGTTTCACGGTCACGACTTCTCTGTCGCTGAACTGCAGCTCTCTGACGGTCACGTTCTCGCTCACGTGATCGTGCTCTCTGGATCAAACCTAAAAAATATGTATGCAATGAACTTTCAAGACTGCTAATGGCTCTCTTCATTACGACAAAATATTTGATATCTGTATTCAATGTATTTGACATATTAAAATTTTTCTCTTCAACCTGCTTTATATATTATCTAAATGTATTTATTTACAATTACAGGACTAAACAAGCTTTTTATTGATCAATTATTGGAACATAACTGTGTAATCCATTTACTCTAGAGACAATCCTTTCACTGAAATTGTTCATAAAACCATTTTTTTTTTTTTACAAAAGTCCATCCCAGATACTACTGGAGTAACCAAGGGGAATAATAGGTAGTCATGCCATGTTCTTCATTTTCAAGTCGGGAAGGAGGAGTCATTCATGGACAAGAATTTCTATTCTTGACACAAGAGTTTTAAGTGTAGATACTCACTGTATTGCAGACTTTTGCCTCCAACCATCACACCATCCAGAGCAGGCAATTTCTCCTGAGACAAAACGGCCTACAAAAAACATACAATTGATATCGATACCAATTTGGCCAAAATCAAATACATGTTTTCAATATTTACAACCAATTAATTACTTCAAGCAAGCACTTCCTGTATATGTTTGACAATTAATGAAGTTTACAATTTCAGCTTCAGAGGGCAGATTTTCTGATAATTTTTCAACAAATAAACAAGTATAACTTTATTTTTTGTTTTTTCCAACAATCTGCAGACTCCACTAACAAACATGTGGGCAATCGTGTTTAAGAACTTAGATGGGATATTAACTCACATTAGCCAAGGCAGTGTAGAAGCTCCGGGCTACTCCACTACCCTCTCCAGGTTCATCTTTAAATGTGACCTTGACACGATGAACAGCCAAGGGCTGGCTATTACTGTTGGTACGTCGGTTGAAGAGTGTGTTAAGTTGTCGGAAGGCCTGTATGATCAGCAGATTCCTGTCCCTTTCCACCTGTTTCAGACAGTGATAACTTCTTACATCTAAATCTCACAAGCCTTAATTCTTATCTAATTTCTCTCATATATAGACCTTTATCTAATTTCTCACCAACTTAGGTTTACCTCAAACTTCTCGCACACCTAGATCTTTATCCAGTTTCTCAAAATATCCAGGTTCTCGTCTAACTTCTTCAACACCTCCAATCTCATCTGCTTATTCACATACCTATGTTCTCATTTAATTTCTAACACAGAGCATTATTTTCATCATATTTAATTTGCAAAAAAACACTTTTCTGTTTTGAAGATAAATTTAATTTTTTTGACCTTATTTGGACGTACATTTATATCTAACTGATCATGTTGAATTTTAATTAACACATAATAAATAAGAATAAAGAAATCTAAAACCATTACCGATCACTTTCGTAATTACCTCCAATGTCAGGTCTTTCTGTTGCGAGTTTCGAATTTTCTCCATCTCACGTCGGAACTTGCTTTCTTTGACTGGGAATCCCCCAAGCTCACTAATAACAGATCCTGGCTCCGCTCCAACATCATCACAAAACACGCCTCCGAACAACTCGAGGGCCAGACGCCATCGTCCCAACAAAACATCATGCGATACCAATGTCATATGACCAATGTACATCTGCCTGAGAAAGTTAAAATATTGGAATCAATACCAATGACTAGTCAAAAAGATTTAAAATATTTGTTTCTTTCTAATGTCAAAAGGTTACAAAATGTTGAGATACCACCTGCCATTCCTAGCTGTCAATAAGTCAACTTCTTCATAATCTGATAATTTTTCCTTCACTTTCCACTTTTAAAAGTCAGACAACATGAACACCATCAAAAAACAGATTTAACCAAACAGGTTTCCCAGCAGGGGTATAATGACTGTATTCAATGATATAATCCAAACATATTTCTGAAATTTCTATATAGTTATAAATCAACTATTATGGATGTGCTACTTTGCAAATTAGTGCTCATTGTAGAACATTTAATGTTTAAATTAATTTTTAATTAACTTAACCTTAAATTTTCACCTATTTCATTAAATTAAACTTACAAAAAAACCTCCTCTTTGCTTCAAACAGATAGCAAAGAATAACTTCAACATTAAGTACATGTGCAAACATTGAACAACATAGATTTGGTACACAATAGTCAATCTACTTAACCACTTACTCATTACTCTGGTGTCTATTAGGAGCTTGAGTTCCTGTGGCAGGGGAGAGAACTCCAGTTTGCGACGTTTCCACAACAACTGTGTTGGACACATTTTCATGGGCTCCGACAATATCCACCGGAGTGTCAAGACTGGAACTCTGTATGGTGTCTCCAAGGCTACCAAAATAATGAGATCATGTACAAAGAGTTTTAAAAGTTACAGAAATAGTAAGGCAAAAGAACAAAGTCACAGAAAAAATGTCTCCATGATTACAGAAATATTGAGGTCACTGTATGTTGATGGCTAGTATAAAACATAATTTTCATTCACCGTATCCATTAAACTCATGCTAAGAAAATCCTTTCACATTAGAAATCTTTGAAAACATGACCAAGCTGAACATTCAATATACATACATATGACAGTTTTGAATACATTACAAAAATTTTATACCTTGCTATACCTTATTCAATTCTAACATTTCTACACGTCAGTCACTGGATACTTTTACCTCTGTGCATGTTGTCTGGTCTAATTACACCTTAATAGTGAAGATCATTAATTTGAAAGAAAACATTGAAATTTCTTCTAATAAATTTCCATTTTTTGGTTACCTACCTGCCTGCTAAGGAGGATGATGGTAGAGTAGAGAGTGACCCTGTTGATGGAATACTGGGTCCAGTTGATAAACTGCCACTAGGTGGCACTGACAGGCTACTTCCTGCCTGGGCTGAGGAGGTTTCTCCACTATGTAAAGCAGACCCTTGTGACAGGTCCATGCTGTTTACATCCATGGTTGAACTCTGACTTTGTGACGACCTTTGACCTGAAGATGAAGACCCCTGATCAATATTGCCTAGTCCAGTCAGTGTGAGTTCACTGTTAGCTGATGACATCATAGAGCTACTACGATTTCCAGCACCAAACGTCATGCTGTCAGATCTAGCTGGTATCATCAGAACGTCGTGTGACAGTGCCACTCCCTGTGATGAAGGTGGTTGAGCCATCATGGGAGTCTGAGAGGAGGACGAACTTGCATGAACAATGACACTTGCCTGCTGACCTTGACCTGAATTTTCCTGAACCTTTGGTTTTGGTATGATCGGAGAGGCTGGAGATTCTGTAACCATGTCAGTCAGTGTAGAAGAGGCCCCAGAATTTGACCCCAGGATTCCAGAACTTGATCCCAGGGAAGAACTTCCCTGTAGAACAATGTTGGTTGCCTGTTGTACGATACTTTCCACAGCAGTTCTGCTGCCAGTATCCATTGGAACAGGTGTGGCCCCAGCTGTAGACACATTAGAAGGTTTCACAATCACACTTGGGTTACTAAATCCTAAGTCAGGAGCCAGGGAAGACTGCTGTGCTCCACCGGTTGCAGAAAACACAAGTCCACTAGATTGTCCTGACGCCTGAGATGACTCAGACATACGACTAGCAAATCCCATACGTACAGGAAGTTTATCAAAATGAGTACGGTGGGGTGATGTTTGTGGAGCATTTCCATCAGAACTGCCACGGTGTGGTGGTACAGAGTGATGGATCATACCAAACATGTCCTCACGGCGTGCGTTGGGCTGAAGCAGGTGAGGCTGATCTGCCAATGGCAGTGCTTCCACTAGTGGTGTCTGGAAAGGGTCCGGAGGTGGACATCCAAGGAAAATGGTTGAATCAGTTCGATGGAAGAATGAATGTTTTCGTCCAGATTTGGCAGTGACATCACTTTCACCGTCAACACTCTCCGCATCCATCGACAGACTGTTGTTTACTGGTTCGTCTTCATGCTCCTCGTTTTCATTTTCATCATGGTCCCATGATATTACTGATATTCCATCACGGAACACCTCACTATCTGTGTCTGTACTACTGCGCATGTAGTATATAAGTGCATCAAAAACATAGGCGACATGACGCATGGCGGAAATGTCGAGACTAGGGAGTGTGTCGGAGTGTTCGTCATTATGGGATCTCATAAGAGACAGGGCGTAGTTAAGGAAGTCACGTCTTGCCACATTACCATCAGAGCCTGTGTAATAAAAATTTGATTATGGATCAAACTCAGAAAATCTAAAATCTATACTGTTAGAAGCCAAACTGGTGCCTCAATGCATCCAAAATGGACCAGAGGACATGTGAGATCAAAGGAGGTATATATATATATATGTCTTCAATTTATGCTACTTTGAATCAAGTCGTCCAAAAGCAATCCTGCTGGTGGGGATCATTGATATATAAATTTTCCTTCAAAATCTGGATTTAAGACTTTCTTTATCAAGCAAGATATTAACATTTTAATGCCATTGTTAATTTCTTTTAAACTCATTATGTACATATCTACAGTGACCACTGATTAGCTAATTTCGTCAATAATAAATATCTTGAAAGAGTCATTTAGTTCTAATAGTTTATACAGCAGATTAAAGACTAAATGAACTACTTTATACTAAAAAATATAAATTTGAAGATAAAATGATAAATAAGATGAACTCTGTAATGATACTGGTTGGGGAAACCTGAAAACACACAGCTGTTCAGACACTGTACCCTCTACTTACCAATGGTACCAAATCTTGCGCGACGTCTATCTAAAACCTGTAAGATACGGTTCTCCTCCCTGTTTGTGCGGTCTCGCATGGTACGCACATAATTGGAGTGAAGAGGATGACCAGGGTTGGCCGGGTCTGTGGTATGACTGAGAGCAGAACCAAATCGTAACTGTGCCTCAGTGGCGTCCATCACATCAACAAGCCACTCCCACGTTATCTTTAGATGGTCTTCTGTGTATAACTGTAACAGATTAGGAATGCTATTATAATGTAACGTAACAGATGTCATTATTTATGCCTCTGATGGGATTCAACCTTGGAACCTTCACCTTACTAGTCTTAAAACTCAGCCAATTGAGCTAAAGAGAAGATCTCTTCAGCAGACAGGTATATTGAAATCTACCTGAGTAGGTTACTATAGTGTGAGTGGTCGGGTGTCGCAGTTGTAACACACTGGCCTTTCACCTAGCCGGTTTTTCATGGTTACTCCGGTTTCCTCCCACAATAAGACCCCTTGTGCGCTTAGGAGTTAGTATAAGTTGAAATAACTTGTTTCGCAATTGTTTTAAAATAAGTAGTTTAACAAAAAAAAAAAAAAAAACAGTGTTCTACTATAGTGTAATAGTTTCCTACCAATTATTGCTTATAAAACATTTTATTTGCAGGATATTTTACCTGTAGATCAATGGAGTCCTGATCGGTGATGTCAAGCACACGTGGCAAACTAGGGGCTAATGCATGGTAGTCTTGTAACATTGTCAGTAAGTCTGCGATTTGTCGTACTACAATTCCAAATGCACGTGCTAACTGACTTGCTGTGGTAGTCATAGTAACAGCCGTATCCTGTACTGCTGGAGTTGTTGTAGTGACTGTTGTTGTCCTTCTTAGTGTGGATGGGTCAATGTAGATAAGTCCTCCACTTCCTCCTTTGAATCATAAATAAACAGTCTTTCAAAAAATCCCTTTCTTCTATTTTTTTTTCTATCTCGGCTGTTTCCATGTTCTATTTACTGCAAACTTTCTTCAAGTTAATTATTGGTTAAAACAGTAACTTGTACGTTTAAGGCCTCAGTATTTTCCTTGACATTCTACAAAAGAATGTTATTCTTTGTTTCCTCCCATTTACTAAAGATCAGCATGTTTACCACCAATGACCTGAGAATTTTACAGTTGAACTTTACATTACAGTCCCAAGAAATGTCTTTGTTCCCAGGCAAACTTGAAAAGTATGAAAGTGTATTTTACATGTAATAGTGGAATTAACAGGTTGATCCGGGTCGAGTATTTCATATGGAAGTTTATTGCAAGGAATATAAAGCCTCTATTGGTGGTTGATTTGGGGAAAGTCAGTAAACTAAACTACAAATTTTATTAGGTAAACGGCAAGCGAACAGAAAGTTACACAGTGTTAAGTAAAGAGATTTTACCTGTGTTCGTGGTCGTGCCAGTGGCTGGGGGAGGACGAGCTGTAGTTGCCTCCCTTTGTCGGATAGCCCACTGCATGGTCTGTGGTGCCTGGAGTGTTCGCTGGCCATGGGAACCTAAAACAAGTGTATAAGGTTTATAAATCTACGTAGAATCTTGACTTCCAACTGAAAGCATAAACCTGAACCCCAGATTCCAAATAAACTATCTAAGGTTTCCATCAACGAAGCTGTCAGTGCATGGAAATTTGCAGAAAATGTTTATTCTTCCTGTCCCCGATGAAGAATGGGAGAGTGGAAAAACTGATGCCATTGGAAAGTTATGCCACAACAGAGAAAACTGATACTTTAAGCTCATACATGTAGAAGGATTTAGTCAGGTACTATTTGACCAGTATAAATCAGTCTGTGATATCCCTATATAAACTGTAGCATTTGAATTTTGAAATTATCAGCAGTGATTTACTATCAGATAGAAAGGCATGATATACTCTTCACTCAATACCTGATGTGTTACATCGCTCCAGCTGTTCGTCGATGTAGTTCATATCGTCTGCGTCATTTTGATCGCTTTGGTCACCTTCACTTTCATAGTCGTCCTCTTGATTGGATGATTCACCCGAGTCCTCAGAAAAGTGAGCTAGACTACCGAGACCTAAAACATGTCAAAGGCCAAAATATACAGCCCCCAGGACTGGCACTGACAAGTCTAACCAGATGTTTTATTATCACTGGTCTTCAAACTTTAATAAAATCTTGCATTCAAGATCAGAAACTATTTTTTTATAGCGTCCTATCATATGCGAATCATCGCAAAATTCCTGATTCAACATTTAAGCCTACCTGCATCTGAGCCTGCAGTTGCTGCAGTAACAGCACTGCGCTGTACACTGACGTTATCCTGGTTGCTATGACTACTATCACTGTCACTATCAGACTCAGCAAGAAGATCAAGGTCCATGTCACTTTCAGCAACACCTTCCTCCTGCTCGGCCTGGCCATGGTCAGCATCAGAGTGTTCTGATTGGTGGTCATCACGGTCGTCATGGTCACTTCCCTCATCTTCCCCTCCATCCACAACTTCAACCTATCCCAAACAGTAAAAGTAAATAGAGCTCAAAAAAGCATTTTCTTAAAATGATGCCTTTTATAAGAAATATCTTCAAAGACACTATTTACTGTTCTGTAGCGTCATTGATTTAGACACTAATTACTGTTCTATAACATCATTGATTTAGACACTATTAACTATTCTGTAACATCACTCATTTAGACACTATTTACTGTTTTGTAACATCATTGATTTAGACACTAATTACTGTTCTATAACATCATTGATTTAGACACTATTTACTGTTCTGTAACATCATTGATTTAGACACTATTAACTGTTCTGTAACATCATTGATTTAAACACTATTTACCGTTCTGTAACATCATTGATTTAGACACTATTTACCGTTCTGTAACATCATTGATTTAGACACTATTTACCGTTCTGTAACATCATTGATTTAAACACTATTTACCGTTCTGTAACATCATTGATTTAGACACTATTTACTGTTCTGTAACATCACTCATTTAGACACTATTTACTGTTCTGTAACATCACTCATTTAGACACTATTAACTGTTCTGTAACATCATTGATTTAGACACTATTACTGTTCTGTAACATCACTCATTTAGACACTATTACCGTTCTGTAACATCATTGATTTAGACACTATTTACTGTTCTGTAACATCATTGATTCAGACACTAATTACTGTTCTGTAACATCACTCATTTAAACACTATTTACTGTTCTGTAACATCACTCATTTAGACAATATTTACTGTTCTGTAACATCACTCATTTAGACACTATTTACTGTTCTGGAACATCATTGATTTAGACACTATTAACTGTTCTGTAACATCATTGATTTAGACACTATTTACTGTTCTGTAACATCACTCATTTAGACACTATTAAATGTTCTATAAATCATTGATTTAGACACTATTTACTGTTCTGTAACATCATTGATTTAGACACTATTACCGTTCTGTAACATCATTGATTTAGACACTATTTACTGTTCTGTAACATCATTGATTTAGACACTATGAACTTTTCTGTAACATCATTGATTTTGACACTATTACCGTTCTGTAACATCATTGATTTAGACACTTTTTACTGTTCTATAACATCATTGATTTAGACACTATTTACTGTTCTGTAACATCATTGATTTAGACACTATTAACTGTTCTGTAACATCACTCATTTAGACACTATTAACTGTTCTGTAACATCATTGATTTAGACACTATTAACTGTTCTGTAACATCACTCATTTAGACACTATTTACTGTTCTGTAACATCATTGATTTAGACACTATTAACTGTTCTGTAACATCATTGATTTAGACACTATTAACTGTTCTGTAACATCATTGATTTAGACACTATTACCATTCTGTAACATCATTGATTTTGACACTATTTACCGTTCTGTAACATCACTCATTTAGACACTTTTTACTGTTCTATAACATCAATGATTTAGACACTATTTACTGTTCTGTAACATCATTGATTTAGACACTATTACCGTTCTGTAACATCATTGATTTAGACACTATTTACTGTTCTGTAACATCATTGATTTAGACACTATTAACTGTTCTGTAACATCATTGATTTAGACACTATTAACTGTTCTGTAACATCACGCATTTAAACACTATTTACTGTTCTGTAACATCATTGATTTAGACACTATGAACTGTTCTGTAACATCATTGATTTAGACACTATTTACTGTTCTATAACATCATTGATTTAGACACTATTAACTGTTCTGTAACATCATTGATTTAGACACTATTTACCGTTCTGTAACATCATTGATTTAGACACTATTTACCGTTCAGTAACATCAATGATTTAGACACTATTTACCGTTCTATAACATCATTGATTTTTGTGGGGAATTTATTTTGGTTGATTCTGTGGGTACTCTGAAAAGACAATTTCTATGTCCAATAAATGATAAACAGATGAAACTTGAATGGATTTAATACTATTTAATACTTGTGAACTTGTAAGCATCCATGAAACAAGGTGCCAACAAAAAAAATATTTTTGGAAAACCACGAATTTCAACCCTGCATAGATATATGATTTTACAGAATACAGCTATGCTATCATGTTTTCTAGTGATCACACCAACAAATTTACACTGGCCTTTGGAGTATGTTTTAACATATCTTTTTACAAAATCTGAACATTTGTGTGATCAGATCAGGTCATGCTGTCTTATCAACAACCTGTGTAATGTGGACAACTGTGAGTAAAATTTAGTCAAAATGGAGTTCACGTGATACAAATTTATTGATTTGGTTTTTTTTCACTAAATTCCCTTTAGTTCTTACCTCTTCCACATCGGCTGCCATGATGTCATCGTCATCACGGTCCGTGTTGGGATGGGTTGGCTGACGACGGGCCTGGCTGGGGTGGGGGATGTAGGTTGTGACAGGGTGTGTATCAGTATCTGTGGGTTCGGATCGAGGGGGGATTGGGTCTACATTAAATACCTCTTCACTTCCCTGTAATACCATGAGTTTTCAAAGAATTTAACATTTTTACAAGTGGAATAAATACATTTCTTCAACTACTGGAATATAAAATACAATTTTAATCATTTCTTCAACTACCGGAATATAAAATACACGTTTTATCAGACTATCAATGAGATTATTTTATCCTAAAACATAATGGTTGGCTTTCCCTATTTTGTGTTTTTCCCCAATATCCACTTCCACCAAGGATGTGGTTTGGAAGTTTTGTTTTGATACATTATTTGATGCAATAACCTTAGGGATTAACACAGCTCTTCCTAGTCAAAGTCAGTCAGTGGGCTTATCACAAGACAAGGAAATAGCACAAGTTCATTAGTTACAGATACTAATATATACATTAGTGGGCTTATAATCAGACATAGAGTTATTGCATTATAACTTGGATAGTGACAAAATGTTCTGAGTTTTGAAATTGCCTTCAGTATCATAATATAGAGAAAAGCATAAATACCAACATTTTTGTATTAACTCTCATTCCTAACTATTGAAAATCTAAAATGTTCTCTGTGACCTCTATACCTGTATAGCCTCGCCGTTTGCCGACACAAGGGAAAATGGAGCTGTGGGTCGAGTCACACCCATTCGGACTGGGGCAATCAGGGAGTTGGCAATCTCACACAGTTCCTCGATAGCTATGTTTATCAAAGCCTGGAATGCTCTCTTACATTTCACAAGAGGCTGACATGATGTCAAGGTCGAGCTGTCAATCAGAAGGGGTCAATAATTCATATTTAGATTTAGTTCTTACCACATCCAAGAACAAAAGGTCATATATCATGTTTAAAAATCAATAATTAAAGAAAAATCCAAAATTTTACCAGGCTGAAGAGGGAGGAAGGAAACATGTTTTTCTGAGATTTCATCAATCATCAAAACATATCCAATATGTCCATTACCACCAACAGACAATGATTAAATTCCTTCTCCACTTTACAGTTATGGAATAATACCCAATTATTTGACACCTATCTATCTTGTGACACAGACTACTGTTAAGCCAAGCATCACAAACATCATCACAATGGGTAAAACATCCCACGATAACGCTTCACTATTACAAACTTTGCACCATGAAATTTAATTTTAACTTTCAACCACTGTCATTACTCACCTCTTTTTCTTATTAGTAGAAGGCGTCATTTCTACATTCAGGACAACAAATATTCTAGCAACAGAGCGTAAGAATCGTTGTGCTATAGTGCGAGCTTCTGCCTTTCTACCCTCCACGCTATCGTTTTGCATCTCACGAATCAATGTTGTAAGGAGGGTATCCAGCATCTATGAATGAATTATATATCAAACATTGTAACATTGATCAGTTTTATTTTTCTCTGTTGTATAGTCTTTGTCAGGAAAAAAAAATATAATGGTAATCCAGGACTTTTAAAGTCCTTTCCTACAAAACTAATCTATATATGGTCAAAACCTGGATAAGATTTTCTGATTTCAGTCTTCACATTTCATATGAAACTAAAATCCATGACAGAAGAAAACAATGAATTAAAATTTTAATTATCAATCTATACAAAATTTAAATAAGAATCAATCTTCCAAGAAGAAAACAAATCAGAATTATTCACATTTCATCATTTTTCAAAAGACGCCATAGCAAACTCAAGCATAAACCTATTTTCAGTTAGTTTTCAAGCATAAACTTAATTTGATCATTTTGCACTTTGTTTGTATGAGACCGCGTTTTCCATAATTTATCAACACAACCATCAAATGGATTTCACAGTATTTTGTATTGTACCACAGTGATGTTAGAAAGTAACACATCAATTCAAAGCTTAAAGTCATAGTCCATTATTATCTTATTCTTGTGACAGGCTTTGACCTTCTTTATAATAATGATTTCATACTTTCGAGATGGATATATGTCAAACAGACTTTTCCGGGCAAAGAATTATCATATCAATTACTTGGAAACTGATATTTTAGAACATACACCTAGATAATTCCCCCCTTCCCTCCTCCCATTTCCCCCTTCCTTCCTCCCACCTTTCCCTCTCCCCTCCCACTTTCCCCTTCCTCCTCCCATTTCCCCCTTCCTTAATCCCACCTTTCCCTCCCCCCTCCCACTTTCCCCTTCCCTCCTCCCACTTTCCCCCTTCCTCCTCCCACTTTTGCCCCTTCGCTCCTCCCACTTTTGCCCCTTCCTCCTCCTACTTTCCCCCTTCCTCCTCCCACTTTTGCCCCTTGCCTCCTCCCACTTTCCCCTTCCCTCCTCCCACTTTCCCCCTTCCTCCTCCCACTTTTGCCCCTTCCTCCTCCCACTTTCCCCCTTGCCTCCTCCCACTTTCCCCTTGCCTCCTCCCACTTTCCCCCTTCCTCCTCCCACTTTTGCCCCTTCCCTCCTCCCACTTTCCCCCTTCCTCCTCCCACTTTTGCCCCTTCCCTCCTCTCACTTTCCTCCTTCCCCCACCCACTTTTCCCCTCCCCCCTCCAACTTTTCCTTTCCCTCCTCCCACTATTCCCCCCTTCACTCCTCCCACTTTTCCCTTCCCCTCTCATTTTTCCCCTTCTCTCCTCCCACATTTCCCCTTCCTTCCTCCCACCTTTCCCTCCCCCCACCCACTTTTCCCCTTCCCCCTCCCACTTTTCCCATTACCTCAGTACTAGTAAGTTGTGATCAGAAACGCAGTTAATCTAGTATTTAATAACCTTACCTCAGTACTACACTTGACCAGTTAGTTGTGATAAGACACAGTAAATCCAGTATTGGATAACCTTACCTCAGTACTACACTTGACCAGTAAGTTGTGATCAGAAACGCAGTTAATCTAGTATTTGATAACCTTACCTCAGTACTACACTTGACCAGTTAGTTGTGATCAGAAACACAGTTAATCCAGTATTTGATAACCTTACCTCAGTACTACACTTGACCAGTAAGTTGTGATAAGACACAGTAAATCCAGTATTGGATAACCTTACCTCAGTACTACACTTGACCAGTAAGTTGTGATAAGACACAGAGTTAATCCAGTATTTGATAACCTTACCTCAGTACTACACTTGACCAGTTAGTTGTGATCAGAAACACAGTAAATCCAGTATTGGATAACCTTACCTCAGTACTACACTTGACCAGTTAGTTGTGATCAGAAACACAGTAAATCCAGTATTGGATAACCTTACCTCAGTACTACACTTGACCAGTTAGTTGTGATCAGAAACACAGTTAATCCAGTATTTGATAACCTTACCTCAGTACTACAATTGACCAGTAAGTTGTGATAAGACACAGTTAATCTAGTATTTGGTAACCTTACCTCAGTACTACACTTGACCAGTAAGTTGTGATAAGACACAGTAAATCCAGTATTGGATAACCTTACCTCAGTACTACACTTGACCAGTAAGTTGTGATAAGACACAGAGTTAATCCAGTATTTGATAACCTTACCTCAGTACTACACTTGACCAGTTAGTTGTGATCAGAAACACAGTAAATCCAGTATTGGATAACCTTACCTCAGTACTACACTTGACCAGTTAGTTGTGATCAGAAACACAGTTAATCCAGTATTTGATAACCTTACCTCAGTACTACACTTGACCAGCAGGTTGTGTGTGAATTTGTCCAGTCTGGCTGTCCCACTCTGACTATCCAAATACAGCTGATCCTCATACAACAGATCTGGTGAGCTACAACAGAGAATGTTTATTCTATACTTCAAGACTGATGTCCAATTCTTCTATACAATCTCATTTCACTTATATTCTGATTGTCATTTTTAATATCATATTGACATGAAAATAAAGCATATCCATAGCCAATACAATCAGTACACAGCTTTTAAAGAACTGGTACAAACATCTAAACTTCGGGTCAACTGTCTTGTCCAAGGACAGCACATGACAGCCCAGGATGGTCTGTGATCTCAGCTTTCAGAGAAAAACAAACTGCCCGGAGTAGGGAAAATCTAAACCTCCCGAGTAGGGAAAATCAAACCTCCGGAGTAGGGAAAACCAAACCTCCTGAGTACAGATAATCAAACCTCCGGAGTACGGATAATCAAACCTCCTGAGTACAGATTATCAAACCTCCGGAGTACAGATAATCAAACCTCCCGAGTATGGATAATCAAACCTCCCGAGTAGGGAAAATCAAACCTCCAGAGTACAGAAAATCAAACCTCCCGAGTATGGATAATCAAACCTCCCGAGTAGGGAAAATCAAACCTCCAGAGTACAGATAATCAAACCTCGCGAGTAGGGAAAATAAAACCTCCGGAGTAGGGAAAATCAAACATCCTGAGAAAAATCAAACCTCCGGAGTAGGGAAAATCAAACCTCCGGAGTACAGATAATCAAACCTCCCAAGTACATATAATCAAACCTCCAGAGTACAGATAATCAAACCTCCCGAGTATGGATAATCAAACCTCCCGAGTAGGGAAAATCAAACCTCCAGAGTACAGATAATCAAACCTCTGAAGTACAGATAATCAAACCTCCCGAGTACAGATAATCAAACCTCCTGAGTACAGATAATCAAACCTCCGGAGTACAGATAATCAAACCTCCGAAGTACAGATAATCAAACCTCCGGAGTACAGATAATCAAACCTCCGAAGTACAGATAATCAAACCTCCTGAGTACAGATAATCAAACCTCCGGAGTACAGATAATCAAACCTCCGGAGTACAGATAATCAAACCTCCCGAGTACGGAAAATCAAACCTCCCGAGTAGGGAAAATCAAACCTCCCGAGTACAGATAATCAAACCTCCCGAGTAGGGAAAATAAAACCTCCCGAGTAGAGATAATCAAACCTCCCGAGTAGGGAAAATCAAACCTCCCGAGTAGGGTAAATCAAACCTCCGGAGTACAGATAATCAAACCTCACACCTTAACTCTTCTATGTTGTATAATCGGACGGTCTACAGTCTGACTGATCTCCTACAGCTGAAATAATCTACAAGTCTGTTTATATTTTTTTTACTTTTTAAGGATTACTAAATCATTTACACTACAGTGAATCTTCACCTAACAACCACCTCAAAATTACGACCACCCTGTTATTACTTTTTTTCAGTCCCGTTTTTTTCCACTATATATCTTTGTATTGGTCACTTCAGTATTATGACCACCCCGCTATTCCGTATTACGACCACTACAGTCCCAACGACCACTAATTAACGATAATTGACCTCAGAATTACGACCAAGTTCTGACCAGTGATTAAAGTTTACCTGGTGGGCAGTGAACCACAAACCATGAGCATGTGTGTCATTCTCAACCATTGTTTTTGTAATGTGATACTGACTCTGTCACCAGGTGGCATTACACAAAGTAAACATCATTATCGGATAAACTTTGCCTACCCGTCTGAAACTGCGTGCCAGACATGTTTTAGTAGCGATCTATTGTTGGTTACTCATATATTGATAGATTGGTAGGTATGCTGTTAAACACCTTAGAAGCCCTGCATACCCAAAGGTGAATTATGTAGTCTCTTCAGCCTATATTCCTTTACTCGCACACGCTCACGTTGTCAAGGGTTTTTAACTGTTTTTGTAGCTATATTACACTCTTGACATCGTTTGAACAATAAAAAAACATATATATGTTCCAAATTTTGCACGACATATTTTCACTGTTACAAAACTCAGATGAACTTTATCAAGCAATGACGAAACTATGTAAACGAAACGAGCTATCGCGATTGGTAAAAAGGACTTACAGAATAGGAAGCTGTCCAGATTTGTAGCTCTTCGCAACTTTGTGCACTGGACTCTTTTTTAAGTAAAATGACAAATGAGTTGTACTGAGTGATACACCGACAGAGTTAATGTGTTTGTAAATTTATGTTAAAAATGAAGCGTTGGAAGACTTTATAGTGACTTCGTTAATGTTGTTACAAATACTGAGTAAACGTGTTTGTAAATTTATGTGAAAAAATTGAAAAATTAACATTGAATTCCTATTGAACTTAAAATTGATTATTTGTTTTCTTTTATTAAATGTTTACAATAGCAAATATACATGTATATTATGATATAAACTAAGGAATATATACATGTTAATTCTTTTGTCAATTCACCAATTTTATCTTTTTACATTTATTTAATAAAATTCAACCTTTTATATACAGTCTAGTTATTATTGTTGAATAATATACATGTACATTACTTAACAATATATATAGTCTTTATTTTAAACAGAGTTACAGTTCTTTGCGGTCAATCTCATCTATCTTGCTATTAAGACCACCTCACTATTAAGACCACTTTTGTCCAGTTCCTAAAATGGTCTTAATAGTGAGGTTTCATTGTATTACAATTCCCATTTCACAGCAGTGACCGTGACCCCGCTTCACAGCAGTGACCGTGACCCTGCTTTACAGCAGTGACAGTGACCCTATACCTGGTTCTTGACTGCTTCTTCCCACTTAGGATCATAGCCTTGACCGCTGTCCAGTCATTCAAGATCCGCTCCAGTGCACGTCGGCTGAACCGTGGAGGGTCAAGGTCATGCTCTGGCATTTCAACATCTAAAACAAAAACAAAGTAAAGATTAATAAATCATTAGAGACTGATCAATCTTCTATATAAACACCTCTCTATCAATGTTCTCTAACTTCTCAACAATTTGACAATACTTAACCTCTTCATATCGCTTTACTCATTCATAGAACTGTCTGCTTATTTTCTCAACAAGGTTTCAAAATAATACGATATTCATTGCTAAATTTCTTTATAAAGCATAAGGTGGTAGTGATGTTTACTGGGTATACAATACCTTATCCAATCATGTGAGAGTGAAAATATACCAAATAACATACAATGTCTGGTGAAGTTCTTCAAACTTCATCCCAATTCCAGGTCAAATATTGCTCAATCGATGTATTGGCATTACATCAACAATTGTTGTTATATCAAATACACAAGCAAATTCTGCCTTATCTGATAAATTCTGCCTTATCTGATAAATTCTGATAAATTCTGCCTTATCTGATAAATTCTGCCTTATCTGATAAATTCTGCCTTATCTGATAAATTCTGATAAATTCTGCCTTATCTGATAAATTCTGCCTTATCTGATAAATTCTGATAAATTCTGCATTATCTGATAAATTCTGCCTTATCTGATAAATTCTGCCTTATCTGATAAATTCTGCCTTATCTGATAAATTCTGCCTTATCTGATAAATTCTGATAAATTCTGCCTTATCTGATAAATTCTGCCTTATCTGATAAATTCTGCCTTATCTGATAAATCTGCTGCCTTATCTGATAAATTCTGCCTTATCTGATAAATTCTGCCTTATCTGATAAATTCTGCCTTATCTGATAAATTCTGCCTTATCTGATAAATTCTGCTGCCTTATCTGATAAATTCTGCTGCCTTATCTGATAAATTCTGCCTTATCTGATAAATTCTGCCTTATCTGATAAATTCTGCCTTATCTGATAAATTCTGCCTTATCTGATAAATTCTGCTGCCTTATCTGATAAATTCTGCCTTATCTGATAAATTCTGCCTTATCTGATAAATTCTGCCTTATCTGATAAATTCTGCTGCCTTATCTGATAAATTCTGCCTTATCTGATAAATTCTGCCTTATCTTGCCTTATCTGATAAATTCTGCCTTATCTGATAAATTCTGCCTTATCTGATAAATTCTGCCTTATCTGATAAATTCTGCCTTATCTGATAAATTCTGCCTTATCTGATAAATTCTGCATTATCTGATAAATTCTGCCTTATCTGATAAATTCTGCCTTATCTGATAAATTCTGATAAATTCTGCCTTATCTGATAAATTCTGCCTTATCTGATAAATTCTGCCTTATCCGACAAGGTCTCTTTCGCAGATTCCACTGATGCCAAAAGCCTTAAATGGCCATATAAAACCTAATTATGTCAAAACACACAAGTTTTAGAAGTTTTTAATATAAATCAAATACCATCATCATGTCGCAATACTCAGGTGTCAGATAAGGCAGGTTTTACAGTACGTACACAGTCAGTGTAGTTCTACATACATAGTTAAACCTAATGAAAACATTAATAAAGCAAGATATTAAAACACTTTTCATCACTACTTCAGTGTAGCAAAATATCAACAGCGTATTGTAAAACAAGTTACTGCCATTAGAGTTTTTATCACTCTTGTTGGCCCAGATGGAAGCTCAGTTGTTGTGGAGGGAGAGCAGAACAAGCCCACATGGTTGGGAAAGTGACAGGTGAGTGGGTTACTACCCTCTCCCCAAACCCAAAACAAAATAAAACAGCATAAATAATTTCAAGTATTTCAACTGAATCATTTCTAAAGCTTAAATATATTTGATTGCTGATATTTTCATACATAGGTGTCTTTTGTTCCACACAATGTTCATCCACAATGGTACAACAACGACTAAATTAAAAGTATACAATGTAACCTGTCTACTAAGGTCGCAGCAGAGAACAATTGATTTTACAACAATTTCACTATCAAATGTTTCAATTATTAAGAAAATGACACAAGTGGCCTTCATGGGCATGTTAACTTTGTAATTGAAATTAATTTTGATTAAAATGCAAATTTTAAGTGAAATCAGGCCATATTAAGCAGTTTTCTGTTCTATAGAGGTGGTGTTTGTAGAGATTTTGTTGCAATAGACATGTCCTTTATATATGATTTTGTTACACAAATATAGATGGTCCTTCTAGACAGGTATTTGTTATATAGCAATGGCTTCTGTTGACAGGTATCTGCTATATACAGATGGCCTTTACATACAGGTAATTGTACAATCTTTAATGCAAGTTTGAATCATGTTGTCTTATTTAAAATGGAAAAGGAAATGCAACATTGTTTACATTTGACCTTATAACTGTGATCTCGAAAAGGAATACTAATTGGAGACAGGACATACATTATGACAGTGTTTGTGGTAAGAATTTCCAGTTTAAATACAGAAAGCAGCATACATAAAGACAGGCTGACATAATTCTGAATGCCTCTGAACATTTCATGCAGACAACAAGATCAGTAGTAAAGCAAATTATACCTAATATGAAAGCAGATTGGTTACATTTTGTTGTAGCTAAAGTCTCACATAAGTTTGATTGTTATAGAATGTAAAAAAGGCCATGGTAGAATTAGCAGCAATGTCAGAATATGTTGTTAATATCAGAAACTACTGTAAATATCAGTGTCAGTGTGGGCGTGGCCCTGTGAAAAGTGGAATACTTATTACTTGTGGCTAGCTGTGATTTGCTAGCTTTGTTATATTTGTGTCCAGTGGGCCGTTGGGTCCACTGACCTATGTCAGGAAGGATCGGCTTGCGAGGGGCAGGCACTCGAGGCCGCGACGCCCGATACTGACGCTGCTCAACAACCTGTCGGCCCACAGTCTGAACAAGGAATAGTAGGATATTCTCTCCCCTGTATGAACATAAAAGAATAAAATAAGAACTGCTAAATATTTACATAGAAAGCTGACATTCTTGTGATAATTTTCCTGTACAACTGGTTTTGCCCTAAAAATAAAACAAAGATCAAACCACAACCCATATCTATGACTGCTTTCATGTAACCCAATGGAAATGGATCATCTGGCATGGAAACATTTCATGATAAACAAGTGCAGCTGTACCAATGTTGGAAATATTACATGATAAACAAGCCCTATCTATGACTGCTTTCATGTAACCCAATGGAAATGGATCATCTGGCATGGAAACATTTCATGATAAACAAGTGCAGCTGTACCAATGTTGGAAATATTACATGATAAACAAGTGCAGCTGTACCAATGTTGGAAATATTACATGATAAACAAGTGCAGCTGTACCAATGTTGGAAATATTACATGATAAACAAGTGCAGCTGTACCAACGTTGGAAATATTACATGATAAACAAGTGCAGCTGTACCAATGTTGGAAATATTACATGATAAACAAGTGCAGCTGTACCAATGTTGGAAATATTCCATGTAAATCTCAAACTGTATAATTTCCTGACATAAAACAATAAAACAACAGTAAGACATATTCCATTCTAACCCCTAATGTTCACATTTCCAGAAATATATGCATGCACCTACCCTACTTTATGCTAAAGTTTATCAATATTCATAGTAGCAGTGTAGGTAGAAATTAAAATAATTTCTCATTATTTTGCAATCAGACAAATTCCCAATTGGAATCAAACATTCTAAGCGCCAATACTTGTATCTGAATAAATACAGTTATATACTTACCTGCTATTAGGCAGTACGACAAGGTCAGTCTCTGACAGGAGTCGGTTGAGGAGGTCAAATCGTGGTCCTTGCTGTCCAGCGATGAGTGCCTTACATTTACATTTCTCCCAACAATCACAGTAGGCAGTTGGCGATGTCTTCTTCATCCTTAATAAGACAAAGAAATTAATTCATACCCTTCTATTTCTTCCAGTCATGTTTTTTTTTTTTTTTTTTTGGTTAAAGAGAGGGATGGCACCAACAATAGCAACTTTCATCTTCTTGGTTTAAGGAAGATACTTATTATGTACAGAATAATCTTTTAAGATAAAAATAGAAAATATCTCCAAGATTTGAATTGTGGACAAAATTTTATACAAGCTTCTAGCTTTTCTTCAAATCCTCCTTTCATATTTGAAATTGTATTTGAAATATGCAAAATGTCTGAAATAAAATATTGTTCAAACTCAAGACAGGTATGTCCCTACACATATTTATATGTAAACGAGTTTCATTATTTGACAAATTTCTATAAATAGTAATGATGACCCTGACCTCTGAATACTACAACAGGAACAAATTTATTTAATTCTCTTAAAAAAAATTTGAACAAAATTCTAACTTGAAAAATGGTTCCCTAACTTCTTTTCATGTTATTATGGCAGTGAAATCAATTTCATTATAACGAAAAGGTTTCTCTTTCATAATTTTATTTTCTGTGAATGATTCTTAGTTTACAAGTCTTCTGTTTTCATTCAAGGCGATGATAGGGTAGACTTTTCAGTCACATGCGAACTCTTCCAATGACTCAGCAATGCACTTACTTGCAGTCATGGCCCTTGTGGCAAACTCGAGCACACTCGGTACAGCAACAAAGTGAACCAGTAAGACCGCACGTTTTACACTCAAAGATATCCTGAAACATACGTAGCTTTTTCTTATACAATATCAATATAAACTGTAATCTGAAAAATCTGACACACAGTAAGAAATCAGGATTTGGTTGGATTTTACAGGGTGTTGGAAGTCAGAGTTTTGTTTTTTTACATTCTAGGTCTAGGAAATATCCTTTAACTGTTCATATAACCTACGTCATTTACAAGGAGAAAAAATAAGCACAACTGAAACTGACACAAGTAAATTTTAAAAGGGCTTTTAACAAAATGTTCACACATTTTTCTATTTACATCTGGAGATACAACTCTATTGTCATTTGTGTTGATTTCTGGTTCACTATTGTTAACTCTGTCACTGACTTCAACCATTTAATGTACAAAAGATACCTGTCATTCATCAGCAAAATTCTTGAATTTCGTTTAACATTGTCAACACATCACTGTGCATTAGACAGTTTTAGAGTCAGGGTCAACAATATGACATTGTAGTTTCAGATCAACAATGATGTAAATCGGGGTGAAAATCTAACCTGCTTGATGTGTTCTCGACCAGTCCAGGTAAAACTACAGGTGTCATTACAACACAACACCTGTAGTGGTGAATTATCTAGACTTGATCCAGTCGGGTAGATCATACTCATCAATGATGGTTTGTCAAGTTCTCCAGAGTTATTGGTGGCAATCCTTTTGGCACATTCGAATAGAGTTATGGCCCCTGCATAGGCACATCCTTTTACAGCTTGCATGAATGGTGTACAGCCTTCAGCATTCCTATCATACAAAGTAATAATCACAAACAACTGGTAATCACCTGTACAACACTCTTCTCTTCCTAAACTTAAATGGTGAATTTTCAAACAAACAAAAAATTTCCTTGTGTCTCTCAACTCTATTTAGATATTAGTCAACATTTTGAAGGGAAATTGCAGGAACACATGCTTACAAATTTTGCCTTCCTAGGATCAATTTCTTTTTGTAAACAATACCTTACATGTAATCAAGTAAACATCCTCATGTAGAAATGATATTGCAGACCTACCTAGCAGACATTAGGTCACGAAGATGAGGCTGCAGAGACGGTGAATCACACAACAGACGCAGCATCTGTACAGCAATGGTCCTGCGTTCCTTTTCCTCCAGTTTAACTGGTGCCATGGAGATGGTGCTAACCTCTGGGTACAGTGACTCGTAACTAGGAGGCGGGTCTGGGTTCCAGGAGATATTTGGCGTTGCTATGGCAGCCTCATCCCTTTCCTCTCTTTCTCTGACCTCCATCCCACTAACAGCTCGGGCAGCAGATGAGGCTCGGCGCATCATCTCCCGCAGGGTCACACTGTTATGAACACAAGGGAAAAACATATGTTGAGTACTTCACTATTCAAGAATACTCAATAGGGTCCGATTTCCCATTCTTTTTTTTTTTAATTTGCAATGCTCATAACAACTGCTATTAAATTATACAAATTATAAACAAAAGAATTAAGTTTCAATAAAGCTAAGAAACATACAATAAAATCACTTTCTCAATATCACTGACTTACAAATCTGGGTAAAAGAAATCTTCCTTAATATTCAGAAAATTTATTTTCCTCTTTCCTAATAATCAGAAAGTGAGTGTGAGACCTTACCTGCGGGAGCTGGGGTCTGTAGTGGAGCGTGATTGTATGGCAGCAAGGGCATCTACAGCACTGCTGACAGCGTTGATGGCCTCCAGTGCGGATGTGAAGGCACTGGTTGTAGTCGTGGTAGGAGTAGTTGTAGTCGTTGTCCCTGCTGCCGCAGTATCTAGAGAAACATAAACAAATTTATGATTTGAATACACCCAAATTCATCTATCCTGAAATTTTGAATTCCGGATTTCAAACTACAGAATACTTTCTTCCTCCATTATATATTTGCATCTTTGCTTTGTATATTTTATTTGACCTTAATAAAAGATCATCAATAAACCTTCTGTCAGTGATTTAGTCAGCCTTCAGGTAAAGATGTCTATGGTATTTAGTCAGCCTTCAGGTAAAGATGTCTATGGTATTTAGTCAGCTTTCAGGTAAAGATGTCTATGGTATTGACGGTCAGCCTTCAGGTAAAGATGTCTATGGTATTTAGTCAGCCTTCAGGTAAAGATGTCTATGGTATTTAGTCAGCCTTCAGGTAAAGATGTCTATGGTATTTAGTCAGCCTTCAGGTAAAGATGTCTATGGTATTTAGTCAGCCTTCAGGTAAAGATGTCTATGGTATTTAGTCAGCCTTCAGGTAAAGATGTCTATGGTATTGACGGTCAGCCTTCAGGTAAAGATGTCTATGGTATTTAGTCAGCCTTCAGGTAAAGATGTCTATGGTATTTAGTCAGCCTTCAGGTAAAGATGTCTATGGTATTTAGTCAGCTTTCAGGTAAAGATGTCTATGGTATTGACGGTCAGCCTTCAGGTAAAGATGTCTATGGTATTTAGTCAGCCTTCAGGTAAAGATGTCTATGGTATTTAGTCAGCCTTCAGGTAAAGATGTCTATGGTATTTAGTCAGCCTTCAGGTAAAGATGTCTATGGTATTTAGTCAGCCTTCAGGTAAATATGTCTATGGTATTGAAGGTCTGCCTTCAGGTAAAGATGTCTATGGTATTTAGTCAGCCTTCAGGTAAAGATGTCTATGGTATTGACGGTCAGCCTTCAGGTAAAGATGTCTATGGTATTGACGGTCAGCCTTCAGGTAAAGATGTCTATGGTATTGACGGTCAGCCTTCAGGTAAAGATGTCTATGGTATTGAAGGTCAGCCTTCAGGTAAAGATGTCTATGGTATTGACGGTCAGCCTTCAGGTAAAGATGTCTATGGTATTGACGGTCAGCCTTCAGGTAAAGATGTCTATGGCATTTAGTCAGCCTTCAGTTAAAGATGTCTATGGTATTAACGGTCAGCCTTCAGGTAAAGATGTCTATGGTATTGTTGGTCAGCCTTCAGGTAAAGATGTCTATGGTATTGAAGGTCAGCCTTCAGGTAAAGATGTCTATGGTATTGAAGGTCAGCCTTCAGGTAAAGATGTCTATGGTATTGACGGTCAGCCTTCAGGTAAATATGTCTATGGTATTTAGTCAGCCTTCAGGTAAAGATGTCTATGGTACTACGGTCAGACTTCAGGTAAAGATGTCTATGGTACTAACGGTCAGCCTTCAGGTAAAGATGTCTATGGTACTAACAGTCAGCCTTCAGGTAAAGATGTCTATGGTACTAACGGTCAGCCTTCAGGTAAAGATGTCTATGGTACTAACGGTCAGCCTTCAGGTAAAGATGTCTATGGCATTTAGTCAGCCTTCAGGCAAAGATGTCTATGGTATTTAGTCAGCCTTCAGGTAAAGATGTCTATGGTATTAAGTCAGCCTTAAGGTAAAGATGTCTATGGTATTGACGGTCAGCCTTCAGGTAAAGATGTCTATGGTACTAACAGTCAGACTTCAGGTAAAGATGTCTATGGTATTTAGTCAGCCTTCAGGTAAAGGTGTCTATGGTAGTAACAGTCAGCCTTCAGGTAAAGATGTCTATGGTATTGACGGTCAGCCTTCAGGTAAAGATGTCTATGGTATTAAGTCAGCCTTATGGTAAAGATGTCTATGGTATTGAAGGTCAGCCTTCAGGTAAAGATGTCTATGGTATTGAAGGTCAGCCTTCAGGTAAAGATGTCTATGGTATTAAGTCAGCCTTCAGGTAAAGATGTCTATGGTATTGAAGGTCAGCCTTCAGGTAAAGATGTCTATGGTATTAAGTCAGCCTTATGGTAAAGATGTCTATGGTATTGAAGGTCAGCCTTCAGGTAAAGATGTCTATGGTATTGAAGGTCAGCCTTCAGGTAAAGATGTCTATGGTATTGACGAAAAGTTATCATATGGATATAATACATCTCCAATTCATTTAAAGAGAGATGCTATAGCGTCCTTACCTATGGAGTTGATATCATTATGGCTCAGGTAATACAAATACCTGACTATAAATGATTTACATAGTGACATCTATGTTAAGAATATTGACCTTATATTTAAAATCTGATGTTTTCTCCTTTTTCCACTTTTGGTCTGTAAAGATTGTACCCACTATATTGTAATACGATATACAAAGTGCTGTGAGAATTTATTATCTGTGATATGAAAACGAACCATTATCATAATCCTTGTTAGAGGTGGGTACACACATAGCCACACAGGTGTGCATAATGTTTCGGTTACCGTCGCAGTGTTCACGCAGCAAATCTTGTAACAATTTCTGACTAGACGCTGTTCCTGAAACATCACGAAACCAGGTATTTTAAAATGCTTTAGTTTAATAAACAAGTTCTTTTCAACAATCTAAACAATATTTTCATTAAACAAATTCAAGATAATTTATTTAAACCATAATGGTGAAAAAATAATTTGACAAAAACTAAAAGTAAATTTTCAAATCGGCTATTGTAATCAAAGTTTATTGAATAGGTAAAATCTAATTATAAATAACAAAATTAAGACCTGAACCAACATCCTTGGATCACATAGATATATATCCATCATGCAGAAGCATGGCAAAGCTCGTGGCCACATGCATATATGTATTACCCATAATTCAGAGATATTAAGGAATTTCTTGAGTCTCATCAATATGCATTAGCCTTGCTCAAGTCCACAACAATAGGATAATCAGACTAACTGCCATCAGTGACAGGTTCAACATTCTTGAAAGTGACGATTTTGAAAGGATATTTGGCTCACCTGGTTCCTTCTCTAAGGACGCAAGGATAGATTTGACTTTCTCAAGGTTACAGCGAAGAATGTGAGGAATCAGAACTTGAAGCTGTAGTGTTGAAAAAAAATCAGAAAAGTGGGAACATTTGTATAATGTTTAAAATTTCCGATCAGCAGGACCTATTCTAGGCTTTAATCAACAATATTTAATAACAATTACAAAATTTTATCAGAACTTTGACTTCAAATAACTTACCTATTAAATTACATCTGGAGACATGAACATGTGAATGCGAGCAATATTTCAAATAACTGATAAACTTAACAGTATTAAAATATTCCTTAATTCCCTATTTAAAAACAACTCTTGTCATCAGATTACTAAAGATAAAGGTCACAGGTCACTGGTTACCAAAAAAAAAAAAAAAAAATTTCCCCACCCTGTTCCCATCCCTGTTGGGCCAGGGCGATGTCCCCAAGGTCACGACTTAGACTAAGAGGACGCTATCCCGGCCCACCCTTTTCTATGTCCGGCCTTACAATGAGTGTGCAGTCTCCATCACACTCATCAAGATTACAGACAATACATGATACTCTGGTTTGTCTCCAGTTGACCTCAGAATGCACATCATCATCACTTGACCAAGAGTTGGATTTATGAACACATCTGTATCCTAGAGTATATGTCCAAGTTTCTTTCTAAACTCTACTGATCTTACTCAAAAAAAGTGATAACTCTTAACCTCCTAAAGATCTAACTCCTAAGTTCAGAATGGCTAAACTCCCAACCTCCTAGAGGTCAAATTCCCAACCTCCTTGAGGTCAAACTCCTCACCTCCTAGAGGTCAAACTCCCAACCTCCTGGAGGTCAAACTACTAACCTTATAAGGTTCAAACTCCTAACCTCCTAGAGGTCAAACTACCAACCTCCTAAGAGTCAAACCCATCACCTCCTAGAGGTCAAACTCCCAAACTCCTGGAGGTCAAACTCCTAAACTTATAAGGTTCAAACTCCAAACCTCCTTGAGGTCAAACTCCTAACCTCCTAAGAGTCAAACTCCTCACCTCCTAGAGGTCAAACTCCCAACCTCCTGGAGGTCAAACTCCTAAACTTATAAGGTTCAAACTCCGAACCTCCTAGAGGTCAAACTCCTAACCTCCTAGAGGTTTAAACTCCTAACTTCCCAGTGACCAATTAAACAATAGTCCAGCCACTAAATAAATTACTACTGGCTATAATAATGCACTCCTAACAATACGTCAAAATTATTTTTTAGATGTGAGAATGAAAAAAAACCTCATTTCTTTTAAGCATGCTGACTATTGCTTTAGTTAACCCTTGAAGTGATTTCCTCCCCCCCCCCAAAAAAAAATTGCCCACAGCACATGAGTGTTCCAAAAATGTATTGAATTAAAACAATGCCACATTTGTTTTCCACATTTCAATTACATTCGACATTTCACTAGTTTTGCTTCAATATTAAAAGTTTTGTTATGTGTTAGTGATATCCTTGAGGTGCTATAATCCACACAATATTTCCTGTATTTTATTTTGCATGTCTTCCAAATCTGTATATGTCATGCCCCAAACCTTACCTTGACTGCCAATACCAGTACAGCAGCCTTGTTTTTCATGTTTGGAATCATGTTGTTTAACGACTGGACCCGCATTCCTAGACACCTGACAGGGGGTAGGTTGAGCCAGAGTGGATCTCGAATCCCCTCCGTACAGTCCTTAGCAAGTGGATAGATAGCCCCATTACCATCCTGTAGCTGGACCAGCAGCTCCTGTATAAAAAAGTGTTTACCAAGTTCAATATTCCCCAATTCTGCTTTATAAACAAGTGTTTACCAAGTTCAATATTCCCAAATTCTGCTTTATAAACAAGTGTTTACCAAGTTCAATATTCCCAAATTCTGCTTTATAAACAAGTGTTTACCAAGTTCAATATTCCCAAATTCTGCTTTATAAACAAGTGTTTACCAAGTTCAATATTCCCAAATTCAGGTGTTCCACTTTTTGACAGAAAAAATCCACGTGGAATTCATCATTATGAGATTTTCATAGTAAGTGATTGTGGATAAAATGGACACTTTAAAAACAAGTGTTTACCCTGGTCAATGTTCCCCAATTCTGGCATTCTACTTTTTGACAGAAAATATTCATGATGAGATTTTCACAGTAAGTGATTGTGGATAAAATGAACATTTTATACCAATGTTTTTATAAGAGATGAAAAATAGTTCTCATTATTAAACATTTCACTGTCACGAAAGCTTATCTCTCTTGATTTAATAATTGGTAAAGGATTTCTTTACCAACGTCTAAAAGAAATTCACATGAATAATTTAATATATAAATGAATATAAACATGTATTCAAATTATTAGAATTTAATTAATTTAATTAGAAAAAAGTAACAGAGCATCAAACAGATGGACAGACAGATGACTCCTGGTGAGTAGATAAAGATTACAAAGGAAGAAATACAACATAATATTTTTGGCTGTTCAGGATTAAAAAATTACAGCAATACAGTCATATGAATAAATCAAACTCACTTGATACCAAACTTTAGCTCAATATCTTTTTATTCTTTTCTTCGTCGTATTTTTAATCATTATGTCAGCAGTAATTCCTTAATACTTACGTCTCCTGTGTTGTGCAGTGTAATATCACTGCGATGACTTCCCATAAAGGCCTGAGCATCTGTTGGGAAGACAGAGTCTTGCTCCACTTTGCCTGTTGTAAGGTTGTATACAAGATAACTAAGTCGTGCCCCAGAGCGACAGATGACATGTATTCCATCACAGTCTACAGCTACTGCCAGGATCTGCCCATTCTCAGAAATTGTCACTTTCTTGGGCGTCTTCTGGAAGCAATCTGGCAGTCGTGGGGCACTTGCGCTCTTCACAACCTGATTCACAAAATATAGGTATCATAATCCAATGCAAAAAAACTATTTCACATTCTAGGAAACAATTATTTCATGTGAAGAAAAGTTCACGCTTGGAAAATGTCTGTAAGACAAGAATGCCTATCCAAATAAGAATTTGATCAAGTGTAGATCTAAGTAATACAAGACTATGGTGTAAATATGAACTCAGAAACAGAAAAGGCTGACAGACATAGGTAGTCCATTTAGGTCAGTCACTAATTGAATTGTCAGGAAAGATGACTAGAGATTGACTACAATTCCTGTATATTTCTGTGGAATCTACACACCTGAAGGTCATCCTTCCTGAGAAGTCGACAGTCCTGTAAGAGACTGGTCAAATCTTCCTTACTACCTCCTGCTTCGGGGTTGTCTTTTACCTGGAATCTCACTGCCGCATACGCTCCATCGACCTTCAATCAGAAAAGAAACATTAGAAACAGAATGACTCTCTCTTGGAACACCTTGAAAGAGTTCTTAAGGAAAACTTATATTTTTTGCAATGTTTCACTTTGTAGATACAAATTCACATCTAAATTTTTATTTTACTTGGTTCCCAAAGAATCATGTGGAAAATTAAATACCTTCAGCACTTTCCCCACAGGTACAGTTTTCACATCCTCAACAAATATCACATTTTTCAACGGCCAGCTTTCCTCATCCTTCTTTTCAACTTCCTTGATAGGTGTTGGAGCTTTCTTTCTCTCTGTTTGGAATAGAGACAATAATTTCCTTAAAATTATTACAAATTGCTAAGTCAAGCATACAATGGTTCTTAAAACTGGGAAATGGTCAGCCACATATCATTGCTTACTTATAGAGATTCATGTCCAAGAATTTAACCCAAAATTTTGAGTATCTGCACATAGAAGCTGGAGTGACCAGTGTGAGATAACTGTGATCATTGACCAATGCTTATGGAGACTTCGAACTGACCATGGGTGACCAGCTCAAGTTTACTGTAATCACCAACCATTCTTACTTATGAATAGTAGTGTTTAGAGATTTCATCTTACTGACTGGCTGGGCTGACCAACGCAAGTCAACTGTAATCTGTGGCCATTCTTATCTTTATGACTTAGTGAGGCTGGGCTGACCAACGCATGTCAACTGTAATCTGACCATTCTTATCTTTATGACTTAGTGAGGCTGGGCTGACCAACGCATGTCAACTGTAATCTGACCATTCTTATCTTTATAGACTAGCATTTAGAGATTGGATTTCAGATGACTGATACTGACTTAGTGAGGCTGGGCTGACCAACGCAAGTCAACTGTAATCTGTGGCCATTCTTATCTTTATGACTTAGTGAGGCTGGGCTGACCAACGCAAGTCAACTGTAATCTGTGGCCATTCTTATCTTTATCACTTAGTGGGGCTGGGCTGACCAACGCAAGTCAACTGTAATCTGTGGCCATTCTTATCTTTATCACTTAGTGGGGCTGGGCTGACCAACGCAAGTCAACTGTAATCTGTGGCTATTCTTATCTTTATCACTTAGTGAGGCTGGGCTGACAAACGCAAGTCAACTGTAATCTGTGGCCATTCTTATCTTTATCACTTAGTGAGGCTGGGCTGACCAACGCATGTCAACTGTAATCTGACCATTCTTATCTTTATGACTTAGTGAGGCTGGGCTGACCAACGCATGTCAACTGTAATCTGACCATTCTCATCTTTATGACTTAGTGAGGCTGGGCTGACCAACGCAAGTCAACTGTAATCTGTGGCCATTCTTATCTTTATCACTTAGTGAGGCTGGGCTGACCAACGCAAGTCAACTGTTATCTGACCATTCTCATCTTTATGACTTAGTGGGGCTGGGCTGACCAACGCAAGTCAACTGTAATCTGTGGCCATTCTTATCTTTATCACTTAGTGAGGCTGGGCTGACCAACGCAAGTCAACTGTAATCTGTGGCCATTCTTATCTTTATCACTTAGTGGGGCTGGGCTGACCAACGCAAGTCAACTGTTATCTGACCATTCTTATCTTTATGACTTAGTGAGGCTGGGCTGACCAACGCATGTCAACTGTAATCTGTGGCCATTCTTATCTTTATCACTTAGTGGGGCTGGGCTGACCAACGCAAGTCAACTGTAATCTGACCATTCTTATCTTTATGACTTAGTGAGGCTGGGCTGACCAACGCATGTCAGCTGTAATCTGACCATTCTTATCTTTATGACTTAGTGAGGCTGGGCTGACCAACGCATGTCAACTGTAATCTGTGGCCACTCTTATCTTTATCACTTAGTGAGGCTGGGCTGACCAACGCATGTCAACTGTAATCTGTGGCCATTCTTATCTTTATCACTTAGTGAGGCTGGGCTGACCAACGCATGTCAACTGTAATCTGTGGCCATTCTTATCTTTATCACTTAGTGGGGCTGGGCTGACCAACGCAAGTCAACTGTAATCTGACCATTCTTATCTTTATGACTTAGTGAGGCTGGGCTGACCAACGCATGTCAACTGTAATCTGTGGCCATTCTTATCTTTATCACTTAGTGGGGCTGGGCTGACCAACGCAAGTCAACTGTAATCTGACCATTCTTATCTTTATGACTTAGTGAGGCTGGGCTGACCAACGCATGTCAACTGTAATCTGTGGCCATTCTTATCTTTATGACTTAGTGAGGCTGGGCTGACCAACGCATGTCAGCTGTAATCTGTGGCCATTCTTATCTTTATCACTTAGTGAGGCTGGGCTGACCAACGCAAGTCAACTGTAATCTGTGGCCATTCTTATCTTTATCACTTAGTGAGGCTGGGCTGACCAACGCATGTCAACTGTAATCTGTGGCCATTCTTATCTTTATGACTTAGTGAGGCTGGGCTGACCAACGCATGTCAACTGTAATCTGTGGCCACTCTTATCTTTATCACTTAGTGAGGCTGGGCTGACCAACGCAAGTCAACTGTAATCTGACCATTCTTATCTTTATGACTTAGTGAGGCTGGGCTGACCAACGCAAGTCAACTGTAATCTGTGGCCATTCTTATCTTTATGACTTAGTGAGGCTGGGCTGACCAACGCATGTCAACTGTAATCTGTGGCCACTCTTATCTTTATGACTTAGTGAGGCTGGGCTGACCAACGCATGTCAACTGTAATCTGACCATTCTCATCTTTATGACTTAGTGAGGCTGGGCTGATCAACGCAAGTCAACTGTAATCTGTGGCCATTCTTATCTTTATCACTTAGTGAGGCTGGGCTGACCAACGCAAGTCAACTGTTATCTGACCATTCTCATCTTTATGACTTAGTGGGGCTGGGCTGACCAACGCAAGTCAACTGTAATCTGTGGCCATTCTTATCTTTATCACTTAGTGGGGCTGGGCTGACCAACGCAAGTCAACTGTTATCTGACCATTCTTATCTTTATGACTTAGTGAGGCTGGGCTGACCAACGCATGTCAACTGTAATCTGTGGCCATTCTTATCTTTATCACTTAGTGGGGCTGGGCTGACCAACGCAAGTCAACTGTAATCTGACCATTCTTATCTTTATGACTTAGTGAGGCTGGGCTGACCAACGCATGTCAGCTGTAATCTGACCATTCTTATCTTTATGACTTAGTGAGGCTGGGCTGACCAACGCATGTCAACTGTAATCTGTGGCCACTCTTATCTTTATGACTTAGTGAGGCTGGGCTGACCAACGCATGTCAACTGTAATCTGACCATTCTTATCTTTATGACTTAGTGAGGCTGGGCTGACCAACGCAAGTCAACTGTAATCTGTGGCCATTCTTATCTTTATGACTTAGTGAGGCTGGGCTGACCAACGCATGTCAACTGTAATCTGACCATTCTTATCTTTATGACTTAGTGAGGCTGGGCTGACCAACGCATGTCAGCTGTAATCTGACCATTCTTATCTTTATGACTTAGTGAGGCTGGGCTGACCAACGCATGTCAACTGTAATCTGTGGCCACTCTTATCTTTATGACTTAGTGAGGCTGGGCTGACCAACGCATGTCAACTGTAATCTGACCATTCTTATCTTTAAAGACTAGCATTTAGAGATTGGATTTCAGATGACTGATACTGACTTAGTGAGGCTGGGCTGACCAACGCAAGTCAACTGTAATCTGTGGCCATTCTCATCTTTATGACTTAGTGAGGCTGGGCTGACCAACGCAAGTCAACTGTAATCTGACCATTCTTATCTTTATGACTTAGTGAGACTGGGCTGACCAACGCATGTCAACTGTAATCTGACCATTCTTATCTTTATAGACTAGCATTTAGAGATTGGATTTCAGATGACTGATACTGACTTAGTGAGGCTGGGCTGACCAACGCAAGTCAACTGTAATCTGTGGCCATTCTTATCTTTATGACTTAGTGAGGCTGGGCTGACCAGCGCATGTCAACTGTAATCTGACCATTCTTATCTTTAAAGACTAGCATTTAGAGATTGGATTTCAGATGACTGATACTGACTTAAAGAGGCTGGACTGACCAACGTAAGTTAACTGTAATCTGACCATTCTTATCTTTATGACTTAGTGAGGCTGGGCTGACCAACGCATGTCAACTGTAATCTGACCATTCTTATCTTTATAGACTAGCATTTAGAGATTGGATTTCAGATGACTGATACTGACTTATTGAGCCTAGGGTGACTAGCTCGAGGCTTCTCTGATCACTTATCAGGGTTTGTCAAATAATCAGTACTAACTGAGGGAGGCAGGGCTGACCAGTGTAGGACCACTGTGATCACTGCAGGTTGAAGAATCTGGTGAGGGAGGAGGTGGCATCTCCATGCGACTTTCGCTGACCTTAACTTCTAATTTGACTTCTGGCTTTGGTTCGCTGAAAAAAAAGGATCAGAATAATTTTCAAGGAATTATGAAACACTTTTGATACAATGAGGTAAAAAACGACATGTAAAAGCAGTGAATAATGAGGTTATGAGTTGGAAATCTGTTGGTATAACACAAAACTTAATTCTGACAACATTTACAGTGAAATTAAACCTTAAATAGCAGATGAAATGAAAGCAACATGTCTAAGTTACCTTCAGAGGAGTCAGTCAGCTACAATATCTGATCAACCTATGACCACCAAACTGTTTTACAACATCTGCTAGGTGTTTATATTTCTAGCTTCACACCACCAAAGAAAACATCCACGACCTCATAGCCTTCTAACAGTTTACCTACAGAGTACAGGTCATCACCATATCTATATTTATCGTCATTAAGACAAGGACTTACCTTGGTGGGGTCTTAATCAGCTTGAATCGACAGGTATCACTAAGGGACCATGCTGACCCAAGCAATTGACCGACCTTTGGTACTCCATCAATGGTTGCAAATGCCAGTGCTCCAGCATGGTACATAGGAGAGCTCCGCAGACATACCTGAAAATACACATTTCATAAAAAGTGTTTTTAATTCACATACCAACGAAACGGATCTACTTTAATCATAATTTGAGAAAGAAATCGCTTACCCAAAGCCAAGAATCTTTCATTCTGTTTACTTTGTTCAAAAACTAATACACAGTCAAATTTCTTTGAATCAAACTTTTTGAATAAAATTTGTTGATGCAACAAATTTTTGCCAAAATCCCAAATTTTATTCCTACATAACACTAATAACTAACTCCTTCATGAATCCAAGTTTCATACATCAAACTTTTTTTTTAAAAACAAAGTTTTTCCATGAATTGTTAGCTATGATAACATAGTCATAACCACCTCATGATTCGAACAAACACCTTTACTGTACCAGTACTTTAGCCCCGCAGCAGAAATACGCACTACCTGACAAAGGAATTATGATAGAGTGCTGTTGTTTACACTTTGTTACAATATCAATTAATGACAGGACACAGATTAAATTAAATAAGTTAAATTGTGTACTTACAAGTCATAACAGTTAATCAACAACGATAACAGTATTTGTCTGATAATCACAATGGTGGTTATAGCAAGTGACGTCTAATTTACAAAACTGATAAAAACACAGAGGAAATCCTGAACTTGTGACAACCATTTTAGTGCTGCATTTGGTTTCATTCAAAATTGGGTCGTAAAATACATACTAGTATATTACCAGTATATATTCCTATGTAAACATATGTACATGTTGTCCATTTCTAAATCATTTCTGTTAAAAGTTGTTTTTCTTTCATGGATGACAAAATGTATTTTGAATAAAAATGTCCCTTAATGTTATTTAGTATATACTGTTTTTGTCGAGGTAGAAACATTGAGTCATCAACTACGGTAATGTATATGAAAACATCAATACCAGCTGCCATAAATAATTCCAAGTCTCAATGTATTAAAGATGTTGTGTTAGTCCCTTGACCTTCGAAACATCCAAGTTTGACTGTATCTAATACATATCCATGTACTCAATAGCAACTGAATGAGACAACATTTTAATGAGATTTAAAACAATTCTTCAATTGTCTAACAATATCTGGTAATAAAAGTACCTTGCTTTCTTTTTATCATGTTTTCATATACAAGACACATCCTGGACTCATATGCAGTCAAGACAACAATAAATCAGATGAGTAAGTTTATTTGTATCTCACCAATGTTCCTGTGACTATATCACTGGTTCCAGAAGATGATGCGGAGGCTGGACCATCTTTTGTTTTCTTTTTCTTGGATTTCGTCCTTTCCACCAACTTCTTTCTCTGGGCAAATGGCATCACTCCCCTGCAGCAAAGATAAATATTACAGTGTTTCATTGGAATTCTTACAGATCAAGTGTTGTGCAGTTATTAAGTTGATTCAATATGACCAGATAATTCAACACATTAACTTCTTGAAAATGTTAATAATAGGAACATCCTAAGCTTAAATGCAAATTTAAGTACAGCCAAACACACATTTTTCAAGTGCCTCAAATTCCATTGTTTTACAATAACAGGTATTTTAATTAGCACTTAATATCAATAATAAAACTTGTTCACAAAATCCACTCATTAATTAATGTCAATTATGATTTGTTAATCTTTGGACATGCAATTTAATTAATTAATGATTTAACAGTATCTAGATTAAATAAAATTTGTTAGTAATGATTTTTACATCGAGACACACATGGCAGTGTTGACTTTTCTGTAAGCTTAGTATACATGAACAACAAAAACAGAGTCATTCAGAGTATTGAGAGAAAGTTTTGTTGGCATTTCAACAGAAACTGTAACATTTGTTGGGGGGGTTATAACAAAGCAAGCACTTATTGTCTGAATAATATGGTAAATCTGTTTTAAGCAACATTTACAGATATATCATGCAAGTAACCTTGTAAAACCAGTGATGACTCTTACCACCAGTAGAGAGCCCCGCTTTCCAGTCTGGCACATGTGTACAGTGAGCATGTGTGCAGTGAGACAATCTTGTCAGTGGTGAATTCTGGGAAGGTCTGAGCAACATGCTCCAATTTGGATGCAACAGTGTTCAATGTCTCGTCAACCCAGGTGGCAACTTTATCCGACTCGGTGAACACCGAGGCACGTACGTTACATGCCGACAAGCCAACAATGTTTTCATTGACTAAACACAGAGACATGGCCTTTGGGTGTTTCAAACTAGGATTCTACAAAATCAAAATTATTTCAGGTTGACAATGCATTGAGAAAATCTTAAAACAGAAATCAATCTTTATTGTAGTCATCTTGAAAATAAAAATTTCTGATAAAAAAATGAATACAATAACATTCTTCAACAGCATTAGTGCCTGATGGTTCCAAGATTCCAGCATTAGTGCCTTATGGAAGCGCAGTTCTCTATAACAGGTTCTGTTGTTTGAATTGTGACTTTAAAGTTTATTTTTGAAAAGCAATGGCTTGGAACTTTTTATATCTCTATCAACAAGAGGTTATTCCTCACATTCTTCTCCTTCTTTTTAGCTTTGAAACTGACAATTTTAAATTTGTTGAAGGAAACCTTACATCCAGATTTTTGTATGGTTCGGGGTCATTCCACCTCCAGCTGTACAGCTGACCATTAGTTCCCACAGCAACTAACTCCGAATGCATGGCAGCAATGTGGGAAAATTTGGGACAGTTTCCTTCCTGTTAGAAATTAACAAAATGAAATGATCAAAGTTGCTGAATAAAAGATTTAGCTGTTCAAGAAAATCAAAGCAAAAACAAACAACATACAGCTACCAAGACAACGACACAATAATCATACTGAATACTTTCAAAATTCAAGCTTTAAACCATTATATTTTCAAGTACAATGCATCATTTCAATAGAAGTGAAATACAATTTTAAGCAGTGAAATATATGTATATAACTGGATTCATTACCTTTTCAGTCCAGAACTGGAGCTCCTCCCCCAAAGCAACAGGACTTTGACCAGACATGGTTTGCTTCTTTAAATTTTCAGCTTCCATATTTTCAGTCTTGTCACGATCTAGTGCCTTAAGGGCCTCGTCACGTAGTGTGGTGTCCAGTCTCCGACGGTCACGAATACGGAATATTGTCTCTCTTTCTCTGTCACGGTCCAAATCTCTTTCTCTGTCACCTTAAAATAGAAAGAAAAAAAGGAAAAATCAATGTGATATTCCTTTTTTTTCACATTTCAACAAGACCAGTATCCGTGTTGCAAAATTCTCCCACATGCCAACCCCCTTCCTCTCCCCCTGCAATAATTTTTTTGAAAAAGATTAAAAAAAAACTTCAGTTATCAGTTATTTTGAAAAATCTTCTTATAATACCAAAAGTCAAAATATGTACATTTCACTTCAACACAATCAATTTGAGACGAACCACATTCATGCAAGTATAAAGTCAGTTTAATGCCTTGAAGATTATGCCCAAACACATGCCTAATCTAGACCTGGTGCCTGAGCCTCTAGTACGTAGAGTTGAGTAGCCAAATACATCCTCATTATACATGGTGTCTGCGTCAATAATCACACTTGGATGATCAGCATGTATCCCGGAGTCGAGGAGTGAGATAAGATCATCAGGCATGTAGGAGTCCTGGCTGTCGTCATCATCTGCTTCTCCTTCATCGTCACGGCTTAGTAGGTTGTTCACAGCAAGGTTGACATCTAAATTCTATAACACATCATATAATAATTAACAATTTTACAGCTTCACAGTTAATACAGACTTTTTAAAAAAAAATTCAACGACTTTTATGACACTTTGGTCTTTTATCAAGGCATATTTTCAACAAAATATCAAATCAATGTGTATAAGTTTGAATCTACAATGCATGACTACAGGCAACATAATATATAATTAGTTTCATTCTCGCATGTGGCCACAGGAATCTCATCCAACTCGTTTTGTTCATGATTTTCATGTTAAGGTTTGTTTTTTAAATATGATGCCATTGAACCATTGAACGTCTGTCAGATAGCATTTATTGTCAATATGAATGCAATCTGGGTGACAGATAAATAGAATGACATCCGTTAGTAAAACAATGACAGATTGATAAAACAATAAAGTTTGAAACTTTATTAGCTGACGAAATGAATATGTTTAACACTTTCAAAAATTACTATTTAATGTCAGTACTTAAATCCAGAGAATTAAAATTTCACTATGCAGGTGTAAACCATAGGCCTACCGTGCCCGTCCATTCATTCAGAAAAAATGGCGGCGTCATGTCACTTCGAGTTAAAAGTGAACAAACAGCCTGAAAATGATGAGTCGGCGGAGAAACTTGGTGTAGCCGTATTGGTTTGGACATTTACATTCATGTTTTGTCTGAGTGAGTTTAAAGGAAGAGGATTATCGCTTGAAGAAAGGGACTCCGATGAAACACATGCTACGGTTTGTGAGGAAACTGCTTGTGGGGATCTTGAAACTGTTGCTGCGTGATCGGTAACTGGGGATCGCGAAACTTTCGCTGTGTGATCGGTAACTGGAAGTGTCAGGGTAGACCACGATGCACTAAGTGACTTTTTCTGTGTTGTCGAAACTGTGCGGTTATAGGACCGAAGCGAACTTTCAGATTTATGGGAGCTCATGAACATGATGTGTCTAGCCTGAAATCCTTGATCATTCAGGTATTGGATACTATTTGTATTTAGCCTACCACAGAAAAAATATTAATGCACACTCTCTGAACTGCATGTACAATACTGTGAATGCAGTCCAGATTAATATAGACATAATGGGTGACCACAGAGCAAAATGTAAATATTAATGTGTTAATGCTTTCATACATCTTTTTTCACTTCTTTAAAAAAAAAAAAAAAAATTCAAAATACATTGCACACTTCATACATTTGGATGGGAAATTACTCATTTTGTTTATTTATTGCAACAAAATCTTTGAATGGAAATGAAATATTTTCCTTTTTCTAACGCGTGCTAATGTAAGGTAAAACATGATTCACTATAACCGGAACATTATCGTCAATACTTACTGTTCTCTGCAGTTCTCGGATTATTAAGTTTCTGGACTTTCCTTGTAGTACAACTTGACACTGTAAAAAGAAAATATTCCATAAATACAGAATTTATGATGATTACCAGCAGTTTTCTGTAACTGGACAAGGATGTTTGGAAATATTGTAAGACAAGATATGTCCAGTGATGTCTGGTCAAGTAACTAGTACACATCCCTTCCATCAACTGGACTCCAAGAGCAACAGTTTTTTGAACTGATGTCAAGATTTCCTGTAAAGGGTAGTATAATTCTTGCTTAACAAAAGTAAATGAAAACAAAACAGCCCAATTTTAAGCATCAGAATTTGGTAGCAACACAGTGTTACAGCACAATCCCAAAACCAATACATCGCTGTCATCTATCAAGATACTGATACATGATCAGCCTATAATATCACCAGATCACAGGCAATCAACATTGAGACCAAAGTCAGCAATAATACAAGGCTTTAACGCCAGCAAATGCATATAATCAACATATCAAAACTAGAAATCAATTTCTCCATCAGACCAAATGGAGTTTTTACTGTAATATATTTGTTATATTTGAGCGGTCACAACTTTCTATCACAAAGTTTCAACATTTTTCACATACCTGGCTTATAAGATCCTCTGGGACTACAGATGCAGGGACCAGAGGACGTGTTCCTACAATGACCCCTGACCTCCGACCTCTGCTGACATGGACTGCTCTCTGCATGCGACTATAAGCCTGTTGGTTATTATTACGTGATGCTGCTCCTCCAGCTGTAGTTACAGCTGTGCCCCATCGTCTGTACAGATGTAAAATTTTATTAGAACAGGGAAACAGGTGGTTTCATTGTAACATTATTACGTTACTGAACTATTTCAAAAAGAAATGTGAACATAGAATATGAAATGCTATTTTCAGTTGTAAACAAAATATCTCTACTGAACAAAACTTCTTCACCAAAACATTTTACAGGGAAAAGCACTCATCTGTTCGTCATGGACAAGTGAAAATTGTCTTGGACAACCAGATTTATCTTTGTTAGTCATCTGTTGGACGAGTACTTTTTTCCAATGATATTAATGTTACAACTTAAATTTCAATTAACACGTAAAGAAAATTTGAAACAAAGAAACGTGTTTACAGTACTTGGAAAACAAAATATTCCAGTCTGCACTCTAACTTTTGATTACACCGAAACTCCCATGACGTCAAATATAGTATTTGGAATAACTTAGTCATTTTCCCGCGTAACAGCACCTAGTCAGTTGGATGTAAACAAACACTACGGCTAGGCCTAAGTCGTGCACAATGTCTGACACAAAAGCAATCATCACTGCATAGTTTTTTTTCGCTTAAACTTAAATAAAAATAGAAAAAAAGTCACATGTCACATCCTGGCTGATTAAGTAGCCATTTCATAGCTGAATTTGGACAAGTAAATTTCCTATCCGGACAAGTAAATTTTTCAGCCCACTAGTCCTGTGCCTAGTGGTTTAAAATATTTTTCCAGACCCCTGATTTTAATGTACATTGCAACTGATTTTTTTCTTGCAACATATTTCATAGTAAATTATTAGATGTATTATCATATAACACATTGAGGATATTAACAATAAGAATCCATAATATTAAAACATCCTATTTTTGTAGTCAGATTGGTCCATCAGATATGAATCTTGGTTTTGAGATTATGATAAATACTAATTTTTAATAAACACTTAATTTTGCACTTCCTCATCAACGAGTCTCACAAAATGAGATGTTATTTCTGAAGAATGTAAAATTTTTACCCTGCAGTCTGTTCAGCACTGGATCCAAGGACATCAGAGACCAACACCATGGGACTATCCACAACATGTGTTCCGGCCCTAGGCACCGACGTCCTCTCCCGTTCAGGACGACTGACTTTTGTGGTTCTGGAAACCAGATTGTTATCATAACTCTTTCTGATTTAAAATTAAAATTTACATTGTACTTTAGATATAAACATATTTTCAAAGTATTTCAATAAAAAAATTCATGGAGGTATCAAATGTAACCTCTGCAGCAAAAAATATGAATAAAAATACTAAAAAATTGATTGATGATATAATGCTGGTACTCACGGTTTGTTTTCTGCTTTGTTGAGGTCCAATCGGTCATTGACAACAGCAAAAGAAATACGACAAATTCTTCCATCCTGCATAAGACAGTATGTACAAGAGAATGATAGCAGTTTGACTCTTAAATGATGTAAGAAATGACAATTCTGTAAGGATCTTTTCTGTGTTTTTTTCAATGTTATCCTCATTTCTGACAAAACGGATAATATATTACTGGATCATGAAAGTGTAATAATGAATATAAGTAACAAAATTGACATGGAAGTTTTAGAAAAACTGATACTAAATGACTATATAATTACATATTTCTCTCAGGGTCTGGGTCAACATACAGCAATTGTTTGTAGGAACTTTTTTCCAAGTAAGTAAAACATTTTCAGGTATACCATTATTTCAGAGATACACAGGGTTCTTAATATGAAGGAGAGTCTATAAGAAAAAGCATGAGATCAGGTCTCAAAAACTAATTTTAAAAATATATTAAATTATTAGAGAGATCTTTCCTGAATTCAACAGTTTCCTTTTTTCATTTTTCTTGCTAAAATCTTTGATAGTTAAACTTAAATCATTGCATTTTGAAGAAAACTTTTGATGGAGGTGCACTCAAATTATCTAACAAATTTTACATTCTCTAATGAGCATTCTTAAATCAACAAACCTCGAGTAGTAGTGCTATGTAGTTTGGCCCAACAACACACTGTACCACTGTTAGATTTCTGATTGCAGAAAATGCAAGTGGACTAGAAAAACCATGGTGACTTATCTTTTCTGCTACTTCTCGCAATCTACAACAGAGAAGGACAACTTTAAATTTAAAACTCGTAGAATTCTTGGGTTTTTTTCTTTCATGAAATTTATTTCATTAAATCTCTATGGCAACAATGGAAGTTTTATATCTTCTAATGCAAATTATTCTGTTGCATTTTCTACTGACAGACCAATATAAGAAGGTGATGTGTAGTCTACATATCTTTCAATAGCCATTTGTCTAATGAAGAATTTCATTCAATGAAAGTGACACATTTCTTTCTACTCACTTGAAAGATTGATATCATAATAATATATTTATACATTATTGTCCATGACTCAGATTGATGACAAGCAATATTTCACATCTTAAAACATATGTTTTATTTCCAAGGAAATCTAAATTTGCATTGACTAAAGTTAAGTATTGAAATAAACAATGTAATGCAATTTGTAGTTGTGCTCGCACCAACATATTTGTAAAATAATCTTTGCATTATGCGTTATTATGATTAACTGAATTTCTAGTCAATATTTTCATACCTGTCAGCTTTCTAAACTAAAGCATAAATACAATATTTAAGGAATAACACTTGAAAATGGCATCTTTTGAATTGTTCATTCAAATGAAATCATTAGATCTTATAGAGAAATATAAGAAAATTGTAGCAACTTCGCTTGTTGAAAAAGGCAAAATAAAGCGTACAAAATCGGGAATCTCCCTCCTAAATAGGGAGGGTTGTCAAGTATGTTTTTCTCTTTCTGTCCCAGACAAACTCCATTTTGAATTTCTCTGTTGGCACTTGACCTCATCCGCTTATCATAATTTTGTGGGTAAATTTGCCTAGAAAGTCTGAATTTAACCAATTCTTTTCTCGAATCATTCAGTAGAAGGCAAACACATACAAAAACAAATCGCTATCGTCTGTCTGTTTCATTTTTTTAACGAAAGGTATACGTTTCTTCCAGACAGATTATTGACAAAATTATACAAAGAATCGCCATTGAAACGCCCGCATTTACATCATACCTGTCGTTGAGCTGGTCATCAGTGCCTGGTAATGGATGCACTACGCAATGAACAGAAGTCATCTTTACAAAATGGCTAAATCGGGAATCTTAAAATGGTCTAGAAATATTATAATTAAGTGATATAAAATTAATGTTCCCGACGCCACACTAACATGTGCGCCATCTTGATGTCTTCCGATGGCGTAAACCATTCTGATTGGCTTACTATTGCTGAAACAGATATGGGTGAAACGTTCCGAATAGAAGCAACAAAATGTGCTCATACTGCCCGCTATAAGTTGCCATGGCTGAATTTCATAAAATGTTAAGATACAGATTTCGATAAATTGCTAGCAAATGCACAAATTCTGCCAAAATCATCTAGATTCTATAACTTTTATCTTTAAAACATGACTTCAACTCTCAACTACTTCGATACACATTTTCAAAGTAGCCGGTTTAGCCGAATTCAGAAATTCATTATTAATAGTGTTTGGATCATATATGTAATTTTCCGGATTTGGTTAAAATGTACAGGATATTATCAGGTTGTCACAAAGATTATTAAATTCTCCTTGTCTTTTATTAAGCAATTTAATATATATATATATATAAATACATGTAAACATTATGTAGCTTTACTGTATAGCTGCCATGATTTTGTCTTTTGTCTGTGTTAATATAGTATGTTACCTCATGTAATGCATTCAATGTATCTGTGGATATCAATTAAACTTGAAATTGGAAAACGACAGAAGATGTATGACAAGTGAGCAGTAAAGATAAATATACCATATATGGTGTTGCGTTGGGAGAAACATCCCAGGTAGGTGATGTAGGTGACCATTTCCTCCATCTAAGTAAGGTGGGTTGAGGGAGCGATTATGAAAAGTTCAGCACAAAAATCCTGACTGTGTTTTTGTTTTTGTTTTTTTTTTATGAAAGGATACCATAAGATATCTATATGGATATGTAGTATCAAAGCATTTTTTACTTGCATACAAAAATAACAATTAGAGAAAGCCTTAGAATCCTGCTCGTTAGCTGCAACTTTTGCTCTCATGTTCTTCATATCGTCGTTTCAAATTGTATAACGCATCTGTTATATATCGTCACAGAATTATTTTTTACTTATCCAAATTGAAACTGTACAGTACTATGATTTTATTTGCCTGTTTAATCTATCGAAAATATCGTTCAAACACTTTCTGATCCCACGTACCTCTCACACATTTTAATCTTAGGGTGTTGGCTGTAGTGATTCCACTGAGCGATTTTCATGAATTCCGGATTTTTTTACCCGCCTGCCAATTCATTCGTCATCTAATGGAAGGGCGGTAACTCTAAATTGAATTTTGTCCCTGTCCAGCCACACGTGAGACGATTTTGTTTAGACTCACCATGGCAAGCGATTCGTCGATGACAACAGTTTTTGCTGATTTTCAGAAATATCTTAACGATGAGCAAGAAATCAGAGAGGTAAGAAATTTAGAACAATTCAATTGCTATAGATTTGATGCGCGAGAAAAATATAGAAGAAAGAAGCAACATCGAGGGGTAAACACATTCTTTCCAAATAAAATCGAACCCATGCTCCAGCACTATACACGGCATTAGCAGTTGAGTGCAAGCAGAAGTAACTCCCGTCAATTGAGCGTTACTTGTTGTTTGGTCGTTTAATTCCCGTGCTTATTATCCGGTCAACAGATAGGGTGTTTTTGAGACAGGTCTCCTTGAAGCTTTTGGATACCTCACAAAACAACCCAAGAGAGGCCCATTGCAGGCGATACAGAGCGACTGAGTGAAGTATTTTTCCCACGCAAACAATAAACCCACAGAATTAAACAACAATTGCGAAACAAGGTTTCTCAGCTTATATTCAACACTTTTGTTGGCTTTGTGCATGAGAGCTTACTGTGGGAGGAAACTGGAGTACTCAAAGAAAACCCATGTGGATGGGCATGTAACCCAGCAACTTTTCACGTCTGTTCAGGGACCCCGGACATCTAAGTGAAATGGGAGTATATTACCACTGCATCACCTGGACACTCTGCTATTTATTACAAAGATTTTCCAAAATCAAATTTAAAAAGAAATTCTTTTATATATGTCACATTTACCTAAGTGCGAGGGATTCTGGGAAATACATATCTCTGCAAAGAGCCTTGACATGAATCAAATGTGGGTCCATGGTATTATTATCCACAACTCTTTGTACCAATGACCTTGTCATTTGGTATTCTGTGAATTTCAAGCAGACATAATGCACTGGCATAAGGTCTGTACAAAATGATGAATCAAAAGATCAGATCCCAAATTTAGTTTTCTTTTATGAATCAGAGGCATGGATCTAAAAAAAATATCAGGTTTGTAACACTTAGAGTTGATACTGTGACAGGATTTCAAATTGAAACAATTCCCAATTTTATTATGTGCGATAAAAAAAACTTGTATACTGTAACACTTGGCAGATTGAACCTAGAGGAATATTTGGCATCATATATTTTTATGTGGATTTATTTAGATTCAACGATAGGACCAGAAGACTATCAGATTAGGATTGATCAGAAATAAAAGCAAAATCCTGAAATTATATGTAAATTCAAATTATGTTGTGTCTGCATTTTTCGTATACATGTAGAAGTAAACATTAATAATGAATTGTTGCCCTTGTTGTCTTCTCCCCCATTAGTAAGTAACTTTGTCCTGTAAATACATACCAATTAAAGTTTGAATGTACATATGCAGTTTTTGCAAAATGTCTGTATGAAGACTGAGCAGATAAAGTGATTGACACCAAGAACACATGTCTTCACTCAAAGTCAACCGCGAACATCAGAGTACATGGTTTATCCTGAAATAAGCCAAAGGCATAGGTTTATTAAAGAATAATAATAAGTCTTTGTTTGCAGTTTTATTGGACTGGAATAGATATGAGCAGGCTTCTTAACCACATATGGGCTTATGGCTTGATACCAGTATATATGATAGATGGATTGGGTTTTTTCTGTATACCAGTAAATATGATAGATATGTATTTGCTTATCCCTGAATGCAGGTAGATATGAATGAGGTAAGTAATAAGTAACTAGGCATGGACTGAAGGCTTGGTGATTATTGAACGCTACTCTGGCATAACTATGTATTGAAACCCAGGTAAATACTAAAAAATCTTAATTTGATTTCATCTGGAAGTATTGAAATCGTGCCTGATTTATTTCAGCAAATACGAGTTTTGGTACGAGACATAGAGCAGACAACACGGGAAATCCATACACAACTTCAGCTTGTCCACCAACATGGCGGAATCAAGCAAGGTAAATGATAAAGACACTCTTGTTCCTTTGTTTAGTATAATACTGAATAGCTCCAGTAATAAATGGAATGTAGATTGTTTTAAGCTCTGTTTGTAGATGTTTTTGATTAGTAATATTTAAAACAAGATTTTCACTGCTTCCATTTTGAAATTGATAAATGTCATCAGAACTATTTATTGATTTAACTAAGAAAAAAAAGTATTTTTTCTTCTATTCTGTTGAAGCTTACAGTTAGTCAAACATTTTTGTGAAGAAGACCTGATAATTTAATATTAATATTACTCAGTATTAAGTGTATTATTTGCAAAAAGATGAGCTTTTCTGGTTTGACATAATTACAGTATTTTGTCCAGATTTGGTCTTTAGCATCCTTGGGTGAAAGGGAATAAATTTTGTATAGACCATGTGAATGACACCCTTGGCGGTAGGAGGGGCAGGGTTTAAATCAGGGAAATTTACTTAATTCTTTAAAATCCCTCTTTCCCTTTTGAATGATATAGTACAGATTTGTTGAAGCATCCTTGGGTGCAATTTTAATTTTGTATAAATAATGGGAGAGTTCCCCTGCCCCCACCTCTACCTGGACACAGAGGGGCAAGACAGGCTCCAATATAGTAAATATCTTGAATCTTTCTTCTGTTTGAATATTTTTTTACTGAACTTAGGCAAAAGCATCCTTGGGTGACTGGGACTTACATTTGTTTAGTTAGTGGCATTGAACCCATAGTGCTGTGGTGACAGGACCTAAAAGGGGAAATAGATATCAATTTTTATGTAAAGTTTAGATAAAGCAGTTTCAGCCAAAGCAAAGCAGGTGAGCAACACAGGCCCTTTGGGTCTTTTAGTCTCTTTCTACTGATAAGGTTCTGGTTATATTTGTATAGTGCAGGAGTTCTGTGAAAAAGCTGAGGCTTCTTTTGAGACACTAAGGGAGCAGTACAGAAAATTGGCTGAAGCTGTTCCACCAGGACAATACTATAGGTAAAATATATGTCTTTTTTCCCACTTATTTATCCAAAAATAAGTCTATGCCTGGTAATAAGTCCACAAACATCGATTGCCATTCAACTAAAACAGCAAATTTTTTTATTGCACTGTTGTAAACAAACCTCCTTATGTTGAATCAGTTAATATATTGACTTCCTGTTATCCAGCAATATGCCCATGTCTGGTGATAAGCCCACCACACCTATTGCAGTTTTACATAGAAATACCATCAAATGCTATGGTTTTTTGGATTTGGAAATTACAATACCTGGTCAAAACCACTTTTTCAGAGGTACAACTTTTTATTAATACATTTGTACATATGATGCAAATTTGACAAAAAAATGTATGATTCCTTGCAGGATGTTTCTCATGAGGAGAAAAGTGTAATAAACGTGTGCAGCTTATCTTTATATAATTTCTTTTTAAAAAATTTCATGTACAATTTTGTCTTTTTAGGTTTCACGACCATTGGAAGTTTTCTATGCAACGTTGTTGTTTTTTGTCAGCTTTCATAACCTATCTCCAGACAGAAAAACTAGTAACAAGGGAGGAAACTGCTGCAAAATTAGGAGGTAATTCTTCTATTGTTCAATATTCTCGAGCAACATTTGGATTCCACTTTATAAGGTCATCAGTCAAAATGACTGTAGTCATTGTATTTTGTTTGTTGTCACCTGCAATTTAAATCTCTTCTTAAAAAAATTGTTGTTGCATGAATGTAGATAAAGTGTGTTGAAGTAAGTGAGTAATATTATGTATCTTAAATGAGCAGTAACAAAATAAGGTACATGACAATTCATAGACTTGTAAATGAAACTGTGAGACAGGTAGATCTTATAGAATCAAGTATATATATATAACAGGTAAAAATCAGTAAAATCATGATATATATGACATTATCACATTCTATAAATGATAAACATGGTAGAAAAGTTGTAAAATAACATAAATGCTCGGTATTGTAATAAAATATAAAAGTAATGGTTTTGTAATTAAATAATGGGTGTTTTTGATAAAACAATTTGTAAGATATTAAGACATATTAATTTATGAAATAAAACAGCACAAATTATTAAATTAATTATTGTAATAAAAATGAATTGAATTCAGTCTGAACAAAAATAATATTTCCTGTTTCCAGTAGTCTTACTTATCCTTATATTTTGTACCTAATCTAAACTTCTTAAGGCAATTTTCAAAGAAGCACTTTTAAAGTCAAGATCTCTGCTATACAAACCATGTTAAGTTATAAGTTGAAGTAAAAACATTTGCCTACCTACAGTTCCTAAATTTCCCAATATGTTCAAACAGACACCTATATTTTTTTGTTTGGCCTTACGTAAACAATGCGGTGTATGAGAAACACTGAAGAAGTCGGCAATAAAAGAAGTTCTTTTTCTACAGAACAGTTTTGTTTTACACAAGGGAGATAACTCTGATGTCTTTATAAGTTGTCTTTTAATATCCCCATCCTTTGTTTCCTATAGTTCAGGTGTCCAGGGACAATGGATTTCACATGGATCTTGATGACTTCTTAATAGGTGTCCTTCAGGTAGCCAGTGAATTGGTGAGTATTAGGACTCGATGAAATCAAAAAGCTAGATTAGAGACTATGTATTTAAGTGATGGTATGGATTCCATAAACTTCTCTAATCGATAATGGATATCACGGACGTGATAGATCATCGATCCATGAGATTTTCATGTGATATTTGTATTTTACAATGTTAAGTTGACAAAAGATCATTTTCTGTTCATATTTTTATTGAAATGTTCTCGTTTTCTGATATACTTTGGTATCTTTATCCCAATATGAATGTAATATAATGAAAAGGGTTATAGTCTAGAACTGAGATTTTTGTCTTGAGGTAAACTAAATATATAGAAATATTTTATCACACAATTGACCTAATTTCATATTTTGCGAAAATGTCACTGTTGTGATATACCTTTGATAGTTCTCCATTGGCTGTGTCAGTCAGATATCCATTTTTATTTCATAACATTGACAATAACATGTCATGAATTGAAAATGGCACAACAAAAAGCTGCCTCTGTTTGAGTTAGCTCTTTTGACTATAAAACATATTAAAATAATACTTTTACAAAGACTTTGTATGAAAGGTATCTTGCATTTGTTTCCATTTCATACCATATTTTATGAAACTCGTCTTGAAATTTTGATTTTTGCTTTCCAAGGCTTGCAAAAATTTTCAAAAACTTTTGAAAACTTTTTTCATAAAATCTCTTACAAAATGAAATCTTTTTCTAAGATCTTATATATGTGTATATCATGATTAAGTAATGTAGAAGTTTTTCATTTTCAGTCACGATTAGCTGTTAATGCAGTCACAGCAAGTGATTATTCTCGGCCGTTGCGGATAGCAAAGTTTGTTGCTGAACTGGACGCTGGCTATAGACTGCTAAATCTAAAGAATGATGCATTAAGAAAGCGATTTGATGGCCTGAAATATGATCTGAAGAAAGTAGAAGAAATTGTGTACGATCTTACTATCAGAGGCCTAAAAGCATCAGAAGATCCACCTAAGGAATGAAGGGGCAATAACTCCTGTGACTTTGAAACAATGTTGTCCACTGTTACTTTGTGACAGTCCTGTGTGTTGGTGACTTGGAAACAAGAGTTTTTTGGTGTTATAAATGGCTACAGAGGTGCTGCTACAGTTTGTAAGGACAGAAAATAAAGCAGATTCCTATACAATGTATTTCACAACTACAGTATGGTTTTTCAGACTGTATTGAAATGAAGATAAACATTTTCTAATATGTTAAATGATATGGGTGAATGCAGGGGACCAAGGAAACACATGCTGAAATTAAATAAAACGTAAAGCAATTGTCATGTTTTTCTGTCAATAAGCCCATTCATATATTTATATCATAGTTCTCTAGAATCACTAAACTTTATAATTATTCTGTTTACAGAACTTAGCCATCCTTTGAACATGTGTCATCTCAAGAGAATCCCCATTGTTTGTCTTTATGCATAATGCATGATCTGACTGAAAGGATCAGGATAACTTTTAGCGATTGTGTTTTGTCTATCATCACAGCAATAAGAAAACTGTTTACATTTTAAACTTCTCCTCAAGATCCACCTGAAATAATCCTGGTCCTTATTAAATGTTGTTATTTTTTTAGTCAGTCCAAAATCAGAAAGACACCTATGGTCGTCATCTTAAACAAAAAATTTTTTAACCTCTTTTTTGAAGTTAAATTGGTGCCATGGAGTTGAAAATTGGTGGGAATGTGAAGGAAGGGAAGCTGACAAAGTGTTGTTATTATATTGCTTCATCAAAAGGTTCAATATGATAGTCATAACGGTTATTTTTCAAACTGATCGTGCATTCATGGAACCTCTAAAACTTCTCAAGTGGTATTGATCTGAAACATAGAAAAAATGATCCAGAAATTGTTTTTGATTAAATGTTCTTATTTTCCAGGTTTCCATAAAACTGCCATCTTGAAAACACATTTTAGACTTCTCCGCTGGTGCCATTGAGTTGAATTGTTTTGAGAATGTTGAGAAACTGAAATGAGGAGAGATTGCCTTTGCTGCTAAATGATTCCAAATTGATTTAATCATTTAATAACTGTTCCTACTACAAAAACTACTACTACTAAATTTATATCCTATATAGAACTTGATAATCAGAAGACCATTAAGGCCAAAGGGCTTCTTGTCTTATTTCTTATCATTCTTAAACACTGCTGCTGTGATTTCAATAAAATTTAGCAGAAAGCTTCCACTGGACACTTCTTAACTTAAATTTTCAATTTTGTGATTCCCACCCTCATGGCTGAAGGACAGTACAAAATGAGGAAAAATTTGCTTATATTTCAAAAATCTTCTCCACGCTAAGATACTGTACAATAAAAAATTCATCATGATTATAGTGATACTGAGCCTCTTGTATTGTGATGTGGAGCACAGGAAGATATTAATATAGAGACGTAGTTTATGGCTAAACTGTAAGAGCATGGAGCATATCATAGTAGCTCAGTACTGTAGGCTGGCCGATGTTGTGACATACCGCTGCACACATTGAGGAATATCTGACATTAATCATTCTACAAGCAGACAGTCAACTCGTAATCTAACAGAGTATTCATGTGCAGTGCAGTTAGAACGTAAAACAATTTTTCATGTGAAACTTAGTTCTCCCTGAGATACAAAGAATGACCAAAGTCTGATTATTCATGACATAAACTTTATATAACATAATAAATATCATTTAACATCATTTGTTTAATGCCTGTGCATTGGTTCTTGGTCCTTTTTATTTCCTTCCAACACCTGGTTTTTTTTATTCCTAGCTTCACTGAAATTCTATGACGGCCTGGTACTCCAGAATGGGCAGACATTGCTGTCATTATAAACAAGAATACAAGAAAACAAATAAAAACCCTGTAAAGGTAAATATGTTAGCGGTGCAAGTAATGCACTAAAATAAGATTGTGTTAATTGTTGCTTCTGGATGTTAGATATACTTTAGCATGTATATAGTTCAAATCTGTGGCGTTAACTTTTGTATTCTGAAATACAGAAAGTGAAGTAGCAATAAATTCCATGATCTTTGATTGACAGGTACTTGCATTGATTGACAGGTACTTGTTTATTTGTTTTTATGTAATGTTTAAGGTATATATGAAGATTTTAGTCAACATACAAGGAAAAGAACGCTGACAAGTTATTCAGGTTAAAACTTCCGAATAGGGAAGAAAGGATGATTGTGGTAATATGATTGACCATGACTGATTGGTCAGAGCTATGAAAAGTTTGATATAATAAATACTTTTAATCTGCTTATTGTCATGTTTTTCTGTCAATAAGCCCATTCAGATATTTATATCATAGTTCTCTAAAATCACTAAACTTTATCATTGTTCTGTTAACAGAACTTAGTCATACTTTGAATATGTGTCATCTCAAGAGAATCCTTTGAGAAGCATACCTGGTAAAACTGTGTCATGCTATTTTATGCATAGCTTTCTGGGATGAAGTCAGTCAAGAGTGTTTTAGCTAACAGGAATTAATCTTCAAAAATAACTTTGCTGAATGCACAAAGCCTAAGAGTAACATTATCTCATAGTTAGCTCTGAGCTATGAAAAGTTTGATAAAATAAATACTCTTAATCTTCTTTGAAGATTCATCAAATGTGGAAAAAATCAAGAAAATTTTTTCAAAAAGTCTATACATTTCCTTAATATTACAGGAGATCCCAGAGGGATCCTGACGTCCACCGTTGTCTGATCTTTATTTGCTCTTTGAAAGTTTGATCTTTTCTCTTCTTTTCTCTTCTCTGTTTTTGCTTTTTAAACATAAGAAATTTAAGCATTCCTTTTCAAAAATAACGATAATAATCTTTAACTGCCAAATCCATGATGGTCGCCTGAAGCCATTGTGTATTTTTATCAGTCCCAAAACCAAACAGGCACAACTAGATACCAACAGGAACCTACAAATGAAATTTGGGAGAGATGCATTCAGTACTTCTCCAGAAATAGGGATATAAAACTTTATTAAGCACAATCCAAGATGGCTGCCTGTCCGAAATTTGGTTTTTCTGATCAGTCCTAAAATTAAATGGACACAACTAGGTTCCAATGGAAACCTATATATGAAATTTGAGAGAGATCCGCTCAGTACTATTTTAAGAAATAGCGATAACAAACTTCATTGAAAAAATCCAAGATGGCCGCCTGTCGTCCATTTTGTTTTTTTGATCAGTCCCTGAATCAAATGAGCACACATACGGATCAAGGGGAAACTAGAGATGTAATTTGATCCATCCAAAATTCAAGAAAAAGCGCTAACAAACTTTGTTTACGGACGGACCACTGACGTAGGGCGATTTGAATAATCTGGATATTGACGTTCAAAATTTAAAGTATTATTAGTTTATCAATAGAACAAGCAACAGGAGACCCAAAGTCCTTAACGGTCTACTGTGTCACAATTCTTCTTGTCATAGAAATGATTTTGTTTAAAAAAGTGATATAACTTTAAACAAGGACATAGTCATTAAGACAACCCCCCCCCCCGTCCATGTTCATATGTAAAATATATATATTTTAAGTGAACAACATTGAAAACAAGAAAAGATACCAGCCAATCAGGTCACAGCAGTCCCATGCACAGAATTTGCCCATAATCAAACCTGAACAAGGAATTAAGGTGTTAAGTCTTAAAAGTAAGTTTTCTAAAACCTTATCATTCCTTAATAAGATAATGTGCAGAAAGATTAAAAAATCAGCCATTCAGGTCACATCAACCTCGATAATATGTGTGGAATTTGCTGTTAATCGAACTTGAACAAGAGATTAAGGTAACAAGTGTACCACGCAAGGTTCATAAAAAATATCATGCGGAAAGCAGCATCCCAGAGTGATTAAAGAAATCAGCCAATCAGGTCACAACAGCCTCATTAAATAAGCACGGATTTCCTCTTCAAATCAAAATTGGGCAAGGGATTAAGATAACAAGTGTACCAACAAAGTATCGTCAAAATCCAACTAGTCCTTCAAGAGATATGTGGAAATCAGTGTCCCATGCTAAGATTTTCAACCAAGTTTGAATTGAAAGAAATTACACCCATGACTTGAATTTTCCAATATAAAATCTTCCATCCATGAATAGTAGAACATCATTTGAAATTCCAGACATTTTGACCCATTTTTGGCCCCATCCATCAGCCACTGGGAATGAGTAAAGGTCAATATGTGCATAACATGAAACAGTCAGCTTATAAAAATAAAATTCTAACCAAGTATGAACTATTTCTGAAAAAACCCACAAATTATGCTCAAAAATGTAATTTTCCTATATAAGATATAGTAAAATTTACCTTCTCCCCTTTGGAAAATGTGAGACCCTGGTGTCTGAAGAGTATTTGGTTCTACATCATCTCGGTATTGAGAAGATCTTTGAAATTTCAGGCAATATGACCTCTTTTTGGCCACGCCCATCAGCCCATTGGGGTCAATCGATATCAATATGTGCACCTCATTCAACTGTATACTTAAACTAATAATTATAACCAGGTTTGAACTATTTCCAATAGAAAATAAACAAAAAAAATGTGATTTACCTATATAAAGTACAGTAGACTAGCCCCTCCTCTGGGGAAATGCGAGACCCAGAAGTCATGAAATTACAACCATTTTGGTAAAGCATCTAAAGCCTTTTTCATCCATGAAGAGTACTTGATTCTTACATATCTCGGATTTTTGATGTTTCAATCAATTTGAACTATTTTAGCCTCATGCATCAGGCCCCTTGGGGTTGGGGGGCCCATATAATTTACACTTTTCGTGCACCTTTCAGCTATGGAAAGTTTTTGTAAAATTTCATTTAATTTCTTTCAAGAGTTTTTCCAGAAGAAGTCGAAAATGCTAAAATTTTACGACACACAACGCAGGAAAAAGGCGAGCGCAATATGTTTAAAAAGACCTTAAAGTCTTAAGTAAACCTAAAACAACAAAACAGCATAAAGCAAACTTCCAGATGAAATAAATTTTATTAACATCAAATATCAATTTCAATTATGACAACAAAATACAATCGTAAATTCAAGATGAAAGACTAAGTTATAGATCTCGGCACCACACTAACCCTACAAACCATTATGCAATGGAGTATTGTGTTGCCTTCCTCACTGTAACTGCTCTCTGAAATCACTACTGTTAACATTCTGTCCTGTAACTACCGTCTCTTGTAACTACCCTATAGCTCTAAAACTGCACGGTAAAGTCATTAGTTACCTTAAACTGTCTTCTGATCAGCCCTTCCACCTCCCCTAACCCTGTCTCCCCTGTGATAACTCGGCCCTCCACCTCCCCTAATCTTGTCTCCTCTGTGATAACTCGATCCTTCCACCTCCCCTAATCCTGTCTCCCCTGTGATAACTTGGCCCTCCACCTCCCCTAATCCTGTCTCCCCTGTGATAACTTGGCCCTCCACCTCCCCTAATCCTGTCTCCCCTGTGATAACTCGGCCCTCCACCTCCCCTAATCCTGTCTCCCCTGTGATAACTCGTTCCTTCCACATCTCCTCTCCCGAAATTTGTTCTGTGATAACTGAAGCTTTTCCGGACTCTTTCTCTGATAACTCGGCCCTCGATCTCCCCTGACTACTTTCTGTGATATTTCTGCCCCACCACCTCCCCTGACCATAACTTCATTCTGTGATATATCAGCCCTACCATCTCCTCTGACCCTAACTTCCCTCTCTGATATATCAGCCATACCGTCTTCCCTGATTCTAACTCTTTCATATATCTGCCCTACCATCTTCCCTATTCCTAACTTCTTTCTGTGATATATCTGCCCTACCACCTCCCTTTATCCCGACTTCATTCTGTGATATCTCTGACCTACCACCTTCCTTGACTCTAACTTCATTCTGTGATATCTCTGCCCTACCTCATCCCCTGAGTCTTTTCTGTGATATCTCTGCCCTACCGCCCCCCTGACCCTAACTTCATTCTGTAAGATCTTTGGTCTACCACATCCTGATTCTGACTCCTTCCCATCTTTGCTGACCTCAGCTCTTCCAACTGACACTAACGCCTTTCTGTGATAACCAAATCCTATCACCTCCATTGTCCCGAAACCTTTTCTACTATAAATGCCCTATAACATTTTCAAATCGACATAATGATTTAACAGATATGGAATATTTCTATATATCTTTAGATAGATCTGTCAGTTTTCAATAAAGATATAAACACTCTTCTGCATAAACAAACGTGATATATACAACTTTCCTATTTGTCAATCATGTAATACATAATACATGTACATTTATGTAATAGCATGTTGTCATGTTTTGGATAAACAAAAATATGGATGCAGATTTTTTTTCTTTATAACTTGTTTGAAATAGACAAAACATCATTGAATAAATATGTCACAGTGATAAAGATACCATTATTTGTCCTCATTTACATCACAACTCTATTTATAGTTTGCCATATAGTAACGACTACCCTTCTGTGACAGGAGTTAAGGCTGTGTGCTACATAAACGTGGAGCTGTATTAAAAATTACATCTTTGTGCTTCTGTGACAAGAGTTAAGGCTGTGTGCTACATAAACGTGGAGTTGTATTAAGAATTTCATCTTTGTGCTTCTGTGATAAGAGTTAAGGCTGTATGCTACTTCAAACATGAAGTTGTGTTAAAAAAGTTAAGACTGTGCTGCTGTTAACAATGAATTTTGTTAAGAGTTAAAGGTGCATGCTTCTTGTCAACATCGAGTTGTGTTTTTTAAGAATGTATGCTACCTTTGCCATGAAGTGCTAAAGTTTTGGGTTGTGGATGTATGCTGAAGGGCAATACTTGAATGCAAAAGTCAGAGGCAACTGTGTCAATTGGAGAACTACATCTTCAACAAAGGTAATAAACAGTTTAAGAAAACAGAACTCTTTTGAAAGATGAGATAGATAATACATGTATTAGATAGCACATGAGCTTAAAATAGGTTGACCATTTACGTTTTTGTAATAGTCCCGAATGTTTAAAACAACAAGCAAATATCAATTTTTTTATCATAAATATATGAATATATGATTGTCTGAACAACTATTTACATTAATTATATAATTGTAACATATATCACATTTTAAAAAGTATAACTAATATATATTAGATTAGGGATCATAATGAATATAGAAACCTAAGGGAACCTGCATCTATCATTGCCTATGTCAAATTTTGGCGAGAAATCTGTATTTTAATTTTTACCATCTTTTACTGTTAAGTGACCAGGCCCCACTTGTATAAAACATCTTAACTTGAGATTTC